TGTGGAGAAGTAATGGGACAGAGATGAGGTTTAGAAGTGAGACATACTGTATCTGGACAAGTAGTATCATTTATTAGAAAATATCAGATATGGCATTATTATTAAAATGGAGATACTGGGAGCAGAGGAGCCCAATACAGTTACTATGTTGGAGAACATCGACATTAGAATTTTAGAACTTTGTTTTTTTTATGAGATGGATCTACTGTCTTGCTCAGGCTGGCTCTGAGTTCCTCAGCTCAAGTGATATTCCTGCCTTTTCCAAATAGCTGGGACTGAAGGTATGTACATACCACTGTGCCTGACTTGAGGTTACATTTAAACTGTTCGGTGGACATCTGTGATGGAGATCAACATCAGGGAGTTGGTGGCACACATATCGTAAACACTGTTGTAAGAATGGATTGAAGGGGTCAAGACAAATGAGGTGGATGTGCAGAGGGCCTAAGTCAGGATTTTGAGGAGCTTTGTTTGACCGATTTGTAGAGGAGCCTGTGAGAGAGGCCTGAGAAAGGTGGACCAGGAAGGGAAAAATCCACTTGCTGTCAATGTTCTCAGGACCTGTTCTTTACTGGGGATTGAATCCAGCACTAAGTTGGCCAGACTGGCCTCCAATTTGTGAGCCTCCTGCTTTGGCCTCTCAGAGTACTGGGATTACATGTCTGCAGCATCATGTGATGCACACACACACACACACACGTTTTTTTTTTTTCTAACAGGGTCTGACTGTAATTTGGGCTGTCCTTGCACTCCCTATAGATCCCAAGCTGGCCTTGAGGTGATCATCCTTCCAAGTGCTGGGATTACAGGCATGCACTACCATACCCAGCTTGGGCTGTACTTTTTAAAAGCAGGGTTTTGTTTTTTCACTCAGCATAATTATGTCTCTGAAAGTCAGCTTTGTGCAGAGCAAAACTCCACAGTCCTGTGAAAGCTGCTGAGAGAATGAGTAGATTGAAGCCTTAAATATATATTGGGTTTGGCAACCTGGAGTCATGGTGAGATTTGCCAAGAGTCATGGGTCAGTATGAGTTGAGGGGCTAGAAGAGGTGAAGAGATGAAAGGCAGATCAGTCAGTTGAGAAATGTGGGCTTGTGGGCTTCTGTTTTGATGTGTTTATTTTTTTCATTTAAAAAGTGTATGTATATTTGTATTTTTAAATGAAGACATGAGGCAGTTTTATATGTTTTAAGGGAAGGATATAACTGAGAAAGGTAGACTCACAAGAGGAAGTCTTCGAAAAGATATGAAGTCCTAGGAAATCAAGCCCAAGAATTAGGTATGGATATGTTATTGAAGGGAGATGTTGGAACAATATTTTGGAATTTGAAGGGAATGGCAAAGGAAGGGCTAGTTAGTATATGTTGACACTGCCTTTATAGGACTTGGGAATATAATGCTTAGTACCAGTTATTGATTAACTGGGTTTACCCAGGATTTAAGTGTTCCCACTTGGTATAGGGAAGTTCTTAAATGGAGGTTTAAAGGGTTTGACAGATGTTACTGAAATAAGACCTCAAACACCAAGGTGGTTAAAGAAGGAAGTAAAGAGAGAAGAGACTATTTGGATTGCTGTGTCATAGGAATTAAAGGTACTAAAACAAAACAACTTTAAAATGCTGCTGAAAGAGTGAAAGACAAACTGAAAAAAAAAAATCATGTTATTTTAGAGACAAGTTCAAAAAATTCAGTTCCTACCTTGGCAGAAGCAGTTGGGATGGTGTGTGCTGAGAGGAGACCCCAAATTGCAGTGGGTGAGTGAGTGAAGGTGAAAGGAAGACAGTTGTTTTTTTTTTTTTTTTGGTCTTTTTGAGGGTTTAAATGTAGTTCAGGCTGGTTTTGACTTCACTTTGTAGCCCAGGCTGGTCTTGAACTTGCAGTGATCTTCCTGCTTCAGTTTCCTGAGTCCTAGGATTACAAGCGTGCACCACTTTTCTGGTCCAAATTTTTAAAGAAATTTGGCTGTGATATAAGCATGGAGAATTAGGTTTATTGAAGGAAAAAGAAGCTAATTTTGGGGAGTGGCTGGTTACTAGCAGTTTAACTCAGGACCTTGTACTTATGAAGCAGGTGCTGTGCCCTGAGCTATATCCCAGGCTCTAAATTTTGTTTTAACAAGGAAAGATTTGAGAGTGCTTGTATGTTAAAATGTGATCAGTAGTACTGAAGTGATAGATGTTGCAACATGCAGAAGAGTAATAAAGGCATTCCTTGGATGGATAAAAGGGAGAATAGAGGAATTCAGATTATTTCAGTAGGTATTTCCCATTGTGCAAGGATATGCAGTTGTAGTTGAGTCTGGTTTATTGGAAAGGAGTTGGCTGGCAGTGTTGGATGCCTGACAACCTTAGTTCAGTAATGGTACCTCAGTTACCTGTAAAATAGTAAGTGCTAAAAGACTGGTGCTTAAGACGAAATTAGTAAACTACTTGGGTAACTTTTCTGTAAGTACTTTTAGGAGCGAAAAAAAGCTCTTGTTATTGGAGTGCTGTTTAAAAAGTCTTTTCATTTCTTGAGAAAATAAGATCATTCATTGATAGTGCTAGGAGAAGGAGCAAGGTGCAGAAATTTTAACATGTATTTTGGAAAGGGAAGAACTCTGTGTAGGGAAAATGCACAGCATAGAGGGCCTTGGTCCAGGTAGACAACAAAAGAGTATAAGCAAGAGAGGAGCTCAACAGCCTTTTCTCAGAAAGATGGTTTTGTATACATGAAACAAAGGTTGAAATCTAATGCAGTGCCCTCCTATAGTAATTGGCTTGGTCTAAAAAAGATTTTTTTTGAGACTGGGTCTTGTTAGCTATGTAGTGCAGGCTGGCTTTGAACTCACGGGAATCCTCCTACCTCAACATCTCTAGTGCTGAGATTGCAGATGTATATGACTCCATCTGGTTATCTTAATTAGAGGTCTGTTAATGAGAAGTATCCGGTGTCTTGAAAGGGAAATAAATTGTGATGGTGTTAGATCTTTACTATTTTGCTGAACCTGATAATAAAAATTGGAAACATTGAAATTTAGAGTATGCACAGTGATTGATTGATCGATTGATTTGTAGTACTGGATATTGAACCTAACGCCTTTGTACTGAGCTACATTACCAGCCTTCTTTCTTATGAGACAGAGTCTTGCCAAGCTTCGCAGGCTGGGTTTGAATTTGGGAACTTCTTTGTTCTGCTACTAGTTTCAAATTTGGGGGTTTCCCAAGATGATTTCTTCCAAAGACCATACTTCACCAGAAGAACTTACTGAAAGTTTTTATATTTATGGTTATGTTATTGTCACTAAAGTATTCAAGGTAATATTAGTCAAGTTTGTCAAAGTACACAGAGCAAAATCTAGGAAAATAGAGCTTATAATTGTCTTTTCCCTGTGAAATCATGAATAACATTGTTTTCCTGTTGGTATTGATTTGTGTGACAGTACTCACGGGATGTTGACAGTTCAAGTACTTGCTCCAGTGTTTGTGTCCAGAGATTTTTATCAAGAACCCCCCCCCACCAACTTGAACCTACAGCTGACCCTTGTGACTAGCTTCTGAAGATATAGTTGATCAGTATAATATAGTTGATCAGTATACCACAAAGCTTCCACCATAAGTGACATTGTTAACTTTTGATGTGACTCAAGTCTCCCTGTAAACAAGAACACACATTAAAGATGATAGTTCAAGGATTTAGAGATTATTATCCAGAAGACTCAGGTAAAAACCAGAACTCTATTTGAGAAAGGTAAAACTGTAATTTCTGAAGAGTTAAATATATTTTTCATTAACCTAGTAACCTACGTGAGTGTTGAATTTACAATGAAAAATTCTTAAAGAACTTGTAAATTGATGGAGATTTGGTACGATAGTTCTTAATACTTAGCTAAGGAAATTTCACCAAGAAATCATATTATTTTTATATTTCAGTACTGTAAAACATTTAGCCTCATTTGTAATTTAGACACAAAATGATTAAATTGTTTTTCTTTAAATGTGAACAAAATGTTTTCTGTGAGAAGAGTTTGTATAATAAAGTCTGAAAGCCTCCCAAATGAATTTTTAGCCCTAGACATAGCTATTTCTCATATAAAAGTGATGCGCACAAAGCTCAAGGCTATGCATAGTTTTATCATTTCTCTTGTTTCTCATGAAATCAGAACTGAATCCAGGTGAGTAAGAGATATTACTGCAATAACATTGGATTTGTTTTTAAAAGGTAAATCATTTTGAAACAGTGCTAACTGTTAATAGGAAAAACTTCAAGCATATTCTACCATCTACTTTGTGGCAGTAACACTGTCTTTGAGTATGTAGCTTTATAGAATAAAAGTATCTGTGCTTCGTTGGCTTTTAGCTGCAAGTCTCATTTCCTGGTTTGTATCTGGTAAAAACTAGATCTCACCAAAAGTGCAAAATCCTTTAGTAAGCCTAGGAGAAAGCAATTTGAAACTGTGGTGGTTATTCTAGTGGCACTGCAAGGTGTGGTGTTTGCATCAAGTCGTTTCTGGGTGCCTTGTGGAAATGCCTCTCATTATGGAATCCCTTAACTTTACACTTTTCAGAGAAGGCTTTTTTTGGGGATTGGTAGTGTGCGTTCTAGTGCTTATATGAACTGGACCCTAAGACCATTTAGTCAGGATATACTTACTGTCCTCTTAACATGTGGTGCATTGTATGAAGATTTGGGTCATTTAAAACAGATGACTTCAATATATTACTTTTTCTGTTAAGTACAGGTAACAAAAATGAGTGATAACTATATTTGCATGTGATTTGTGTGTTATAATTAACATTTAAAATCTCTTATGCACCAAAATGTTTTTGGTTGCCATCTTAAGGTTCTTTATTTTCTAAGGCACAGAGTAACTTCATCTCAATTTTTGCTTCCGCATATGGACCCAAGGTGGCTCTAGTTCAACTAAAAGCACCTAACCCATGAATGATACTTGCTTCATGTATGAACAACCAATGTTTTAACCCACTGTCTTCACTAATATTGTAACTACTGTCTTACAGATTGACTTGATGCAAAACATCACAAAGGCTCCATATTATACAGTATGCGATTTTTGAGGTATGAGCTTTAGAAACTTACCTCTCATATGGCATGTACATCAGGCTTTAACTTCAGTTTGGTCATTTTGGGGAAATTTATGCATTTCTTCTTTTTTCTTTCCATAATAGCTTTAGAGTATTAAAGGGGCTATGGAGGTATTTTTGGATCCTTGCCAGGATATTTAACCTTACGATATTTTTTTCACTAAAGTGAGACACTGATTCTAGCACTTAATAGCTTTTTCAGCCCTTCTTCACTAACTAGCCTAACATTTATGCCTGTCTCTTGGAGTTCAGATATGCATTTTCTATTTTGTGCCGTTGATTGCCTCATTTTAAATCCTCATTTTCACTCTTGAACAGTTTCCTATTTATTAGACTGGAATGATCTTGGTGCTAACTGCCCAACATTTTAGTGTTTGAGACCTAAGCAGTCTAGATACTATAAAAATAAAACCTTCATATAAAAGCTGAGCCATTTTGTGCTTTTGGGTTCACAACACTTAGAGCTCTAATTTTGGTTGTAAAATATTTGGATCAGTTTGTGTTGAGAGAAATTTGCAACTAGGAAGTTTTAAGGCAGTTCTGAGATTGTGGTTCTGTCTGAGCAGATATTTTGAAAACCCTAATACTTTGGGGAAAAAATCCTTAGTTTTTTTTTGTGCATGGGATTTAAAAACTTGTATTTCTAACAAATTTGGAATTTGCTTCTAGTTTTACAAGTTTAATTTGAAATCAAATGCATCTTAGGAATTTATTGATAGCATAAATCGTTTAATTTCTTCAGTAAAGAATTTAAAGTGAGCTGCTGTACATTGAATATAAAAACTTTTGATTGTATTCATATGCTCATGAGGTACTTGTACATTAATTTTCTGTTACATTGTAAACCTTGAGTTTATTTTGTTTTACGACTTACCAACTCTTAACTTGCCCTGCAGGCTGTTTCTTAAGAATTCATTTTCTTATTTAAGCCTCACAACAGTCTTACATGTTAGATATAAATTATCCTCTTTTTTATGGAAGGCATGGAGATAAATAATTTGTGCAAAGCACGTGTATCTTTTCAGCGCCGGAGCTGGGATTTGAGCCCAGATCTTTTTTTAACCTGTATTCTCTGCTGCCTTATGTTACTACTGTGTCACCAGGAAATGAAGCAAATATTTAACTCTTAAGAGTAAGGATAGCGAATGTGACATGTAAACATAATAAAAACAGGAAACGAAGGCATGTTTACATACTAGTAGATGACTATCCTTATGTTTCAAAATTAGTCATTTTTTTTATTCCACTATTTTCTACTAAGTTATGTTTCCAGGTTGTAGTAGGTGCCGTTTATATAGACAAGTTCAAAACTTGTCAGAAAAGTTGACTAGGTCTCCTTCAGTCCCCTTTGAGAAAGTGATGATGTTTGGTTTATTATAGGTGCACATGTAATACGTTATTTTTAGGGATGTGATGAATGTCTTTCCATTAGTTTTTAAAAGTTCTTATGCTTTCATTGATTGTTTATGCATGTGGAGTTAGAATACTTACAAAAATAGCCTCATATATTTTTCCCTGAAATTCCACAGGTTTTATTTTTCTAAGTGTTAGTACTTAACTTTGTCTATGAATAAGTGAAGAGAAGGGCCTTAGATGTGTTACAGATTCAGAGCTTTTAGAATTGGGCTTTAGACTTAGGCTAGTTAGGAATCTAAGTGTAATAGGACCTGTTGTGTGCATTCTGTATTAACAGTGGTTGCAGCTGGGTGTGGTGCTGCATGCCTGTTGTAATCAATCCCAGCATTCTGGAGGCTGAGGCAGGTGAATCACTGCTACTTGGAGGGCAGCCTAGACTACATAGTGAGCTCAAGGCCAACCTGAACTACATAACGAGACCCTGTCTCAGTCCCCCTCTAATAAAAAAACAAACTCCAGAGTGATTGCATTAAGTACAGAGATCAAGGTATTCAACTGATTGAACCTGTGCAAAATTTCATGTTTAGTATTTCTGTGGTTTGGGGCAAATAAGAGATGATACATTTTAAAATATGTATATAAACTGCTGTCTTTTCTGCACAAGGCAGGAGGGCTATGAAATTTGAGGATTTGATTAGAGTTGAGGAATAGGATAGTTTTTTGCCCTTGTTGGTGTCCTAAACTTCTCCAAAAATGATGATGGGCTCAGATGTTTTTAACAAATAAAGAAGTGATTTTTTTTTTTTTAGAAGGCTTTTATTATCAGGAGAGAATCAATAGGAGGGCAACTAATTTACATTTTTTCATGTACTACAATAGAATACTTTGTTTTTTCTTAACAGTTTATGATTGTTGGTGGTTGGAGCAGTAATACAAGAAAATTTGTAGCTTGGTTATTTTTTACTGATGAGGACACTAAGGAATAGAACAGATAAGTGCTCATACTTGGATTAGGATGTTGATTTTTACCCTGGACTGTACTACTTATTTGTTAATATCCAAGTATCAGGTATTATTCTATATAATACTTACAAATAAACTGGATCACAGACTTGAGATTGAGTTTCATTGGGTTTGTGATGTTGTATTTTCTTAAAACTTTATTTCCTCACTTTGTAGCTTTAGTTGTTTCTCTTTTACATTATCTTCAGTGAGGTGTTTAGTATTGCACTGCATAAATATAATCTTTACAGTTGCTGTGTTCTTATATTTTACTGTGCTTTCAAATATTCTGTTTTTCCAAGAAATAATTAAATTAAGGATTTGATTAAGAGGTAAAGACAATGTTTTAAAATACTTTGGTAACACATTGCTCCTACCTGACATGGTGCCAGTATTTTTACTCCTAGGAAGGCTATGGGTTTTTTTGTTTTTTAACTCCTTAGCCCTCTCCTCGAAGGAAAGTTTAGTAGGAAGAATTACTTTTTAAAATCTTGTGATAGGAAGAGAATATTGGATCGGACTGACCAATTGTCCCATTTTGTCTGTGTCAGGTGACTTACAGTACCAGTAAAGTCCTTAGTAAAGTAGGATGAGTTGGTTTACTCAAATCCTTGTAATCCTATTTCTGAATGAGTCTTTAGAATAGAAGAGACTAACTACTTGGCAGTTCATCTATTGATGGTCTCTTTGGTTGAAAGATAACTTATTAGACAATAGAGTACTTATATGTAATAATAATGATTGAATATAAAATATAGGAAGAAGAGAGAGGCTTGTATAACAGAAAGATTTAAGATTTTGGTTATTAAAATGTTTGTTGAAAGTTCTAATCTTTCGCTTTTCTCTTTTTACAGAACTGATAGTGCATCAGCCGAACCAGATAATTTAAAATACTCTTCATCTAGAGATAGGGGTGGTTCTTCTTATGGACTGCAACCTTCAAATTCAGCTGTGGTGTCTCGGCAAAGGCATGATGATACCAGAGTCCATGCTGACATACAGAATGACGAAAAGGGTACTTACATATAATATATATGTGTGTGTTGTGTGTGTGTGTGTGTGTGTGTGTGTGTGTGTGTGTGTGTGTGTGTACGTGTGTACGTGTGTACTTTTTCTCCTTTAGTGTTGGAGACATATTTTTTAACATACCTGTTTCTTTTTCTCCTTCCTTTCCCCAGCTCTTGATTTCTTCTAGTACATTTAAAATATAGGTAATGAATGAAATTATTTCTGAACACTTCATACATATACCCACTTTATTTTTTGATACCTATAATACATGTGTAGTATATTTGCTAAAAATGTGTTATACTACTGTCTCTCCTCTAGACTTTAAACATTTTAGTTTTCAAAGATCTAACAATTTAATTTTCATTTCTCTTATATTCCAATAGAGGAATCAAAATTATTTTAAGGCAGGCAACATAGGGAAAAGGTAGGAAAAAATGAAAGCTGGTCTTGTTGTGGATGGATAATAAGATTCTGAACTGCCAAGAATTGATAGAGGAAATAAAGAACTCTAATAAAATTTGTTTTTAGGTGGCTACAGTGTCAATGGAGGATCTGGGGAAAATACTTATGGTCGGAAGTCGTTGGGGCAAGAGCTGAGGGTTAACAATGTGACCAGCCCTGAGTTCACCAGTGTTCAGCATGGCAGTCGTGCATTAGCCACCAAAGACATGAGGAAATCACAGGGTAAGGCTCACAAAACTTGGGACCAGTCACATATACCTCCACAGAGTTTTCTGTTTTTTCTTAAGACCCGTGTCTCTTATCCTGAATGCTTTATTTCATGAGTAATAAGTTTACACTGATCTGTAAAACATGCAAGTAAAAGTTCACATTTTTTTCCCCCGCAGACTGTTGCCCACAAGAAAGGTTTTAGAAGACTGTATAAGATGTTAAAGAAAAGCCTTCCTTACTTATTACAAGTATTGAATGGGTAGTGTATACAGCAAGTCCTGTATACAGAATGGGACTTTTCTCTGTAGTTAAATGTACCCATACCACTGTCTGCCTTGTAACGCAGGTGCTACTGTGTAGGTAAAGTACCTTGAAAATTCAGGATTAATTAATATTTTATTAATAAAGCTCAGTATGAAATTTAGACTTTGATTTATATGCTTTTTTGGGTATATAGATTGTGATACCCCTTCCCCTATGTGTATGTTGGTGAACATTTTTGTGTACAACGCCTTTTTTTAAAATATGACTTTAAAAAAACTGATTTTTTTTGTGGGAGTTCAGAAGTGGAATGACTTAAGAAAAGCCCGTGCTGTTCCTTAATAGAGTGATTATAGCTTTAGATTTACTGTATTTTAGAAGCTAAAAAGTGACTCTAAAGCTAGTACAATTCCTCTTTATTACCAGTTCACAGTAATGCATTGGCTGAATCATACATTGAACAGGTATTTCTTAGTTGATAGCCTAATGACATTTTGGATGTCCATTTCTACCAGAGTACTTATGGGCCAGAGATTTTAAAATCCTTTTCCTTCTGATAGGTGTAGTTTCTTTTGTTACTGGATAGTCTTCCCCACTCTTTCCCTTTCCTTCTTTTTTTCTTTTTTTTTTTTTTTCCTGGGTACTGGAAATGAAACTTGACCTCGTGCTTGCCAAACAGGTGCTTATGCCTCTGAGCTAAATCCCTGGCTCCCTTTCCATTTTTTGTAGGGAATTGAACTCAGGGCCTTTGCGTTGGGCTACATCTCCAGCCCTTTAAAAAATCTTTAAGACAGGGTCCTACTAAGGCACAGTGTAACCCCACGTTGGTCTCAAGTGTGTGATACTACTGTCTAATTCTCCCAAGTAGCTAGGGTTATAGGTGTGTGCCGTTGAGCCTAACAATAGTTATCAGTTTTTTTTTTTAATATAATGCCTTAGAAATGAAACTGTCATATGCTTTGTTGTTTACATATTTTTGGCTACTCATGATAAATAGAATTGCTTAAAAAATTGAACAGTTTGGTCCTTAAATGTATTTTTATTGTATTAATAGTGTCTAGCACTGTTTGAATATTTGTTCTTATTGTGAAAAAAATGGAATAAAGGTTCCGGTTTGCCACTTTTCTTTAGGCATATTTTGCATATAGTGAATGACAGATATCTGTGGAACTGAATGTGTGGTCACTAAAATTTTGTCCTACAAAAATGATGATAATTGCACAAGAGCACTCCTCCATAGTGGGATACTTCAGTGAAAAGTAGAAGCCTATATCTTGTTTATATCCAATAGAGATTTAGTCCCTAAAAGTTACTTGTATCTACTCATTCTCTCTTTTAGTTGCTATGTTCTTGTTTCTTGAGATGGTCTTGCCGTTACCAGGGAGGTCTTGAACTTGTGGACGCAAATGATTCTCCCACATTACATTGTTTCCTAAGTAACTGGGACTACAAGCATGTACCATCTCACTTCAGTATCCATTCTCTTCCTGGATGTTGAAAAAGAGCTAGAAAATTCTTTTTAAACTTTGCTTTTTTTCTTTCTCATCTGGTCCTTTAGAGATGTTCAGTTTGCTTAGGATTTCATTCTTTACTTCAAAAAGTCTTTTTTGGAGCCTGTAAGTTTAGGGCCAGGCCCTCTGTTATACCTTGGTGTATATAGTGATGAACTGAGAAGTGAAAGGAATTCTTTTTATTTTCTGGTGAACTATGAATTTTGATATGTTTAAAAATATTTGGGCTATAAACTTTCTATGCTTATTTATACTAAAATATAAGCAAAATATTTATATTTGCAGAGCGATCGATGTCTTATTCAGATGAGTCTCGACTGTCAAATCTTCTTCGGAGGATCACCCGGGAAGACGACAGAGACCGAAGACTGGCTACTGTAAAGCAGTTGAAAGAATTTATTCAGCAACCAGAAAATAAGCTGGTGAGTACAGTATGTTTAGAATTGTTGAAATGTTTGTGTTACCATAATAAACTAAAGTTACCTCGAGTGGTTTTTGAAGGGAAGAGTTGTTTCTGAGGTCAATTAGGAATTGCTTCACATTTATTGGGCCTATGTTACATTGATGTAGAACTCAGTGTATGACTTATCTATCCATTGTTAGAGTTACATTGGTACCTGCTGCAGTGAATTGTTTTGATTTTATTTATCTATTTTTTTGAGACAGGGTCTCACTATGTAGTCGAGCCAGGCCTTAAAACTCAATGTGAATCCCAGGCTGGCCTCAAACTTGGAATGATCCTTCTGCCTCAGCCTCGAGTGCTGGGATTACAGGCATGTGACACCATGTCCAAATAAAGTGCTTTTAATGTTTAGCATATTTTATTTTATGGATAATCCTGCTGTCCTCAGAATTTTTCCTCTGATGTTGCAGGACAGACTCTGTCTTTTTAAAAATACATAAAATGGAGAGTATAGGCTCACACATTTTATTGTTTAAGTTTGGTCTGGTGGCCAAGTCTAAGAAAATGACAGGGAAATTCAGTTGAAAATAAATAAGAATGGTACAATGAGGCAGATAACATTGGTTCAAAGTAAACTTCTCTCTCCAAATTTTTTTTCTATTTTTTAACTGTTCATTTTATTTGAGTACCATGAATTGAACTCAGGACTTTGTACTTGGCCAGGCAGGCTCTTGTGCCACTGAGCTATACACCTGACTCCACTCTCCAAATTTTAGTATGAAAAGTTGTACATATACAGCAGGTTGAAAGAATTTTAAACCACTCCAGATGACTTCATGTCTGTCATCTAAGTTTTGTCATTGCTGCTTTACCATATTACTTTATTATATCTCTGTCTGTCCTTCCATCCATCAAGTCATTTGAAAATGCATTTCGAATAAAACAAGTTTTTAGTTTATTTTTCATTGATGATTGCAACTCTGTTTCCTGTGAATAAATATCTCTTAATCTGATGAAAAACATGACAGTTTTGATATATGCTGATTAGTGACTGGAAATAAACTAAATGCTGTTTAATTATAATTTAAAGGGGAAGACAAGTAAAAATTATGTACAATGTAATTCATAAAAGGTAATTTAAAGTTTTTATTAATGTTTCTTTTAAAGGTACTAGTTAAACAGTTGGATAATATCTTGGCTGCTGTACATGATGTGCTTAATGAAAGGTAAGTAATTAATATGGGTGGATTTAAATCACTAAAAATTTCACAACTGATGTTCATTTCCTTTGTTTATAAACATATTTGTTATTTTACTAAGTCCTTGTGTATAATCCGTATTATATACATATTAGTTATTGTCTAATACAAATGGAATCTAATACTTGATTGGAAATTCTTCTGTTCTCTTCTTTCTTTTTTAATGTGCCAACCTAAGTAATCTCACACTGACGTATGCAGTGATATACACTCTTGATGAAGAAGGCATGACTGAATGCAGTTAATAAACCAACTGATTTTCAGAATTGTTAGTAGTGGTGAAAGGGAGCTTCCTTTGAGCATGAGTGGATTTAAACAATCTCTGAGATTCTTATTAGGTGTACAGAGTGATTCCTAAAGAATTGTAATGTTGGAAACCATGCACAGTTAGCGGGTTATAGATCTTACTGGCTTTTGATGGTTTCATTTTATATAGTTATTATTACTAAATGCTGTGTTATCCTTTTGATGTATTTATTGCCATATTCTATTTTTATTTTTATTTATTTTCATTTTGTTTTTGGTCCTGGGGATCGAACTCATGACTTCGTGCTTGTCAGGCAGGCACTTATACCATTGAGTTAAATCTCCAGTCCCATATTCTATTTCTAAATACTTAGATTTCATATTATATAGAATATAGTTACCAACCCTGTGTATCCAATTTTGTTCTGCCCATTTCTATGAATCATTTAGTTTGAAATGGAATTTGAATCTTGGATTTTAGCATTTCTGAATCTTTCCTTATTTTTTGCTAATAACTGCTTTTATAAAAAAAATCTGACAAAGGTAGTTTGGAGTGTTGTAGGACAGCGAATACAGTACTTAAGAGTGGATAAAATTTCAGCCTTTTATGTAATTTGAACTTAAATAACATCTAAGACCTTTTTTCAGAAGATGTGCCATTCTTGTCTGTCCTCTTTGAAAGCTTTGTCTTTTATGTGTTTTTTTTTTTTTTCATTTGCATTTAAATAAACACAGTAGCAAATTGCTTCAGGAGTTGAGACAAGAGGGAGCTTGCTGTCTTGGCCTTCTTTGTGCTTCTCTGAGCTATGAGGCTGAGAAGATCTTCAAATGGATTTTTAGCAAATTTAGTTCATCTGCAAAAGATGAAGTTAAACTCCTCTACTTATGTGCCACCTACAAAGCACTAGAGACTGTAGGAGAAAAGAAAGCCTTTTCATCTGTTATGCAGGTAAGATGTGGGGGAAAACTGATGTTATACTGGGGAAGATTGTCCTTAACATGTCCTTGGAAGAAGCTTGAGGGAAGAAAATTGAGGATAGAGGTGACATCTATGTGTAGTGAATATGACATACATTAAACTTCTCTTTTTGAGTATGAGTAAATAATACATTAAGTTTAAAAAATTTCTGTCTTCACTTTCCAGAAGCTAGCCTTTAAAATTGCTTAATATTAGAGTGATTTGTAGATTTGAAACTAGGAGCTCCTCTCAGAGATAAAGGCAGGAGACGCTTTCAAGTATATTGAGGGAGACAAAAACTAAATATCAGTGAATGTATTGAGAAGTTCATTTTCAGTTTAGCAAGATTTTAAGTAGGTTTTTATTGGGGTAATGTTTTTAAAGATTGGGATGTTAGCATTTTATAAAACCTGTAAGGAATGACTGTTTTTAAAAAATTTGTATTACTAAGTGTTTGTATACATAATGATTACATTCATTGTCGAGTGGTACATGTATGTAGTACATTGTGATTCTTTTTATGGCCCCTTTCCTTTTTCTCTGGTCCCTCTCCCATTTACAAAAGGTTTGTCTCCCTGAAACTCTTCTGTTTTGGAAAGTGCATTTTCCCCTGATTATAAAGGTTCTTAGAAAATTTTAGGAAAAATTTGAAGTTTTTTCAATTTGTTTGTTTGTTTTGAGCAGGCACACACTATATAGTTTAGTCTGACCTTGAATATGAAGTGATCCTCCTGCTTCAGCTGCCTGAGTGCTGGGATTATAGGCATGTGCCATCATGCTTACTGTAGGGCTAGTTAGGCATATTGTTTTTATACTGTAAACATTACCCTTTTTAGTTTTTGCAGTATTGAGGATTGAACCCAGGGGCACTTCACCACTGAGCTACATCTCTATCCCGATTTTATTTTTTTATTTTGAGGAAGGATCTTGCTAAATTGCCCAGATGGGATTTAAACTTGTGGTCTTTCTGCCTCAGCTCTGTACATGTTGGGATTATAGATGTGCACCAACCTCTCCTGTCGTGAACAGTTCTGAATTTGAAAAATTTCAAATCGACAGGAAAATATATGGACTAATACAATGATACTCATTTATATTTCACATAGATGTATTAATAACTGTGTTTGACAGGGAGTAGGGGTTGCTGGACATTGCACCCAGGACCTTGTAAGTGTGCTCTGGAGCTATGGTCCACCCCTCACTGATGAACATTTTACTACAGTGCTTTTGCTTCCACAGTACACTTTCTTGTTGAAGATAAATTATATATACATCATGACAGTTCACCCCACAATACTGAATCTCTTAAGAATAAGTCTGGTCTTATGTAATAAAAATATTGTAATCATACTTGAGAAAATGAATTTTACTGTATATATAGTCCACATTAAAATTTTTGCAATTGTCCGTGACATGACTTTTAAATCTCTCAAGCTCCAACTCATCAGAATCAAACATTATCTGTGGAGGTATACCTCTTTAATGTCTTAATTTAGAATAGTTCACCGCACTTTTTTTTTGTAGCCCTTATTTTGTGGTATGTTGTACTTCGGGTTTACCTTACTGTTTCCTACTGACTAGAGTCAACTTCAACATTTTGGGCACAAGTATTTCATAGGTTTATTTTTAATAAATCTCACACTAGCAGATGCATAATACCAAATTATCTACTCTGGCAGGCAATGTTTGATCACCTAGTTCAGGAGATAGCACTACAGCTTCCCATTTTGAAGGCTTAGGTTTTTTTGTCTTTGCACTAAACTACATCAGCCCATTTTTTTATTTGTTGAGGCAGCCTCTTACCAAGTTGCCTAGACAGGGATCAAGTTTGTGATCCTACTGTCTCAGCTTCTCTCAGAGTACAAGGATTACAGGGAATATCCTGGTTTTCACTAATATTTCACTGAAACATTTTAACATCCATTGATATTCTGTGTGAATATGGATTACAGCATTGGCTATTACAGAATTGATGGTTTTATAATTTTAGCATTTCTCACATTTGTAACATTTTTATTTTAACAGTCCTTTATTTGAGGGAAGGGAATGGTGTTTGACAACTGCAAAATATTCCTCAGTGGTGTGCCCTGTATTTATTTAAAGAATACAGAGTATGCCAAAATGAATATATTTTGGAATATGTCAGGAAAAGAAAAACTTGTATAAATATTTTACTGCTAAATTTGAGATATCATGAGATTAATACAAGCTACCTTTGGCCTCTGCAATTGCGAGAAGTACTCGAAGTGATGACCATTAGCTTCCAGATATTCACTACTGTGGAAAACGGTTGAAGTGTGTACTTTTTTCCCCTTCAGATTCTTATACATGTAGTGGTAACATGATCTGCATGTCATTTGTATATGCTATTGTCTAATCCTAAGTCATTCTGATTTGAAGCATATTATATAAACTTTGTTCTAAAACAGTAAATTCTATAAGTTTGATTTCTATTAAGTAAAAAATAAACATATTTTAAAGAAAATAGTCTCCTAGGCACATCTTAATTTTTTTGTATTTGAAATTTAGTCACATTTCAGGCATCAAACAGAACACTTAACAAATAACCTAAAGGTTTGTTATTTAGTCTAATTAATATTAAAGGAATAATGTTGGTAGATATTAGAGAAAAGTATTTGTTTTCAACCTAACAGTTTAATGGAATGAAATGTTTCCAGTTTTTTTGAACTAAAGCAATATTTACTTTGATATTATAATCAGTGCTAGATGTAATCTTTAGCAGACAACATGATTTAATTCTTTTCCTACTTTGTTAAAAGTTTATGATTTGCAACTTTTAATTTTTAAGCTTGTAATGACCAGCCTACAGTCTATTCTTGAGAATGTGGATACGCCGGAATTACTTTGCAAATGTGTTAAGTGCATTCTTCTAGTGGCTCGATGTTACCCTCATATTTTCAGCACTAATTTTAGGGTGAGTTCCCCATGCTACTTCTTCATTTGTAGGGTAAAAGGATGGTGTGTGTGCCTGTGTGTGTTTGTGTGTGAGTGATATATCTGGGGAAGCAGAAAAGCATTGCTCTGTGTCTTTGAATATCATAGCAGCAATGGAGGGTCCAGTGTTGAATGGTGCAGTAATACTGTTTTTTTTTTTTTTTTTTTTTTTTTTTAATTTTATTTAAGGAGAAAAAGGGAAAAAAAAAAAAAAACAGAAAAAGGGTACAAGTTATACAGAATTTCAGAAAAAAACAGTAGGAAATCACTAGTTAGTAGATTACATATTGTTATCTTAGAAATAGTTGTTCAAATTACAAAATTAAAGCATATAAAGTGGACATTCAAAGAGTGAGACTGCGAACAGTTCTGTTCAATGATCCAACAAAACTCAGTAATATGGTTATCTATTTTATACACTTAAACATATATACAGTTATATCCTTTAGAGTACTTTCTTTTGTACAATGACAATTACACATTTTGGATTTTATTACTCCCACAGTTTTTATTACTTTTTTTGAAGAGAGTAAAACCAAATGCGACATATCAGAACAGAGTCAGTCAAATCGAATATTGTTTTTATGAAAAATACCAAATCATTGCCCTTTCTGACATTGCTGTATCTTAAGATACTTAAGGAAGATAAAATACTTCATTAGTGTCATAAATTTAATACTTTTATTCTTCTCCACCTCTCACCCTCTTTCTAAGTTACTGTAAGTAGAGAGAACAAAAGTGTTTTTTCTAGGATCTTTTACTGTAACACAGTTCACAAGTAAAATAGCAGTAAGACCCTAAAATGACTGGCCTCTTATCTTTTTGTTTCCATTAAGGATACGGTTGATATATTAGTGGGATGGCACATAGATCATACTCAGAAACCTTCACTCACACAGCAGGTGTCTGGTAAGTTTTTTTTAGCATTACCAGTCATTTAAAGAATTTGCCACTAAAGACCAGCTATTAATAATAGTCAAGAAAAGTAATTGCTTTAAGAAAACATATTGGTTATTATAAATGAATATCACTTGTTAGCTAAATTTTGTAGTTTGTAGTAGGTAGGTGGGTTAAGTACAGATTCTAATGTTGGATTCAACAAAAATTCTGAAGTCATTTGAAACATGTATTGATGGGAGAAAAGATGGTGGTGATACTGAGAATGAAAGATTCTGTGATTTTCTTTTTTAAATTTCTTTTTCTGATTATTTAAAGAGAAAATACATTGTGAAATTGTCAAAAGTGATAGCCAAGTATTTTTTGGCTTTGTTCTTCTTGAGTTTAGGTGAATGATAGCACAACTTACAACATACACTGGCTTGTTGCAGGTTTTTTGTGATACTGGGAATTGAGTGCCACATGCATGCTGAGCGAGCGCTCTACTGCTTTGCTATATCCACACCTCTTATTTTTCTGATTAGTTCTTGATAACTTACCCAAGCTGGCCTTAAACTTGTAATCCTCCTTAAATCTCCTAGGGAGGTGGAAATACAGGCGCATGCTATTGAAATCAGCTTATTTGGTGCAGTAATCTTTTGAAAATAAGATTTGGTAGTGAGAATAGTTTTGTTTCATTTCTGCTGTGAATTCACACTTTCATTGGCTAAATGTGGGTTAATAAGCCAGGCTGATGGTAGATGGTAGCATTTTGTCTAAGTCGTATGTAAGAACGTGAAATTTACATTTTAATTTTGAAATGTGTAAATTTTTACAACTTTAGGCTTTTAATCATGATTTGTTATTTGAGATCACCATGTTTAGTAGCAGTCATAATTTCATGATAACAGGACATGTTTTAGGGTAGGCAACTTAAAAAGTTTAAATCAAATTTTGGAGGTTTTTAAATTTTGGATATGTTCTGTTCTTTCAAAATTTCTTATAATTCCAAGGGTGGTTGCAGAGCTTGGAGCCATTTTGGGTGGCTGACCTTGCATTTTCTACCACTCTTCTTGGTCAGTTCCTAGAAGACATGGAGGCATATGCTGAGGTAAGTGTGTAGAAAGTCAAATATTTCTTAAAATACTAGATGAGGAAAGACAGTAGCAACAACAGAAAAATAAAAAGTCCTAAACATTGTTAGACTTATTATAATGTAGTACCTGACATTTAAGTAGAAATCGTAAGACCATTGCAATATTGTAGTTTTTAAAAAAATTTTTTTATTCATTTATTTATTTGTCCTGGAAATAGAACTCAGGACCTTGTGTTTGGTAAGCAGGTGCCATGATGATGAGCTGTACCCCTGGGCCCCAATTTTTCTCTATATGGTGTTTAATTTTTTTTTTTAATATGTCAACTTTTATAACTGATCTGTCTTTTAGAAGTGACCCATTGTAGTTTATAGAGAAAATTTTCCTTTGGTACTTGTATATGTTTTCTGTAGATAGGTGTTGGTTCTAATATGACATCTTTTGGGGTTAATCATTTTCTGTTTTTGGTTTTTTTTTCCCTTTTCCCCCAGTATTGAGAATTGAACCCAAGGGTGTTCGGTCACTGTGGCATACTAATGGCCCTTTTATTTTTTATTTTGAGGCAGTCTCAAGTTGTATAGGCTGTCCTCAGATTGGGATTGGGTTTCGGATCCTTCTACCTAAACCTTCCTAATATGTGGCATTTATAGGTGTGTGTCACTTTTTGAATATGTCTTACTTCCTCAATTAAATTATAAATCTGCATGTTAATTTGCATAATTTTGTAAGCCTCTTTGCTTTTCATATGCATATTGTAGAGTAGCTGTTGTCTTGTTTTCGTGAACAAGAATGTGTAGAATGAGATTTTAGAAAAAAATCAATTTAGGAATGGCAAAAATTTCAGGTTCCAGTTATACCTGTATGTAATGAGTATGTACTAGAATTTATTTTTCCCCAATATGTATTTATGTTGGTGAAGGAGATTATTCCCCAGTAAATTGAGTTTTGTGTGGGCTTTAAAAAAGTTATCAGATAAAACCCATTTTTATATTTATTTGTCACATTTTTCTTTTTCTTTTAGGGTACAATTCCTCTTAATTTGTAAAAATCTAGTTCTAAAGTTAATTGACATAAGTTTTGGGAGGTTTTATAAGAATGAACAGTATACTACTTAAGTAAGAATGCTGTGAATTCCCACATAGGACCTCAGCCATGTGGCCTCTGGGGAATCAGTGGATGAAGATGTTCCACCTCCATCTGTGTCATTACCAAAGCTGGCAGCACTTCTCCGAGTATTCAGTACTGTGGTGAGGAGTATTGGGGAACGCTTCAGCCCAATCCGGGGCCCTCCAATTACTGAGGCATATGTAACTGATGTAAGTATCTTTAATTGAACTATCACTCAAAAACAGAATTGTTTTGCATCATACCAGTGCCCTGTTACTAATTCTATATTCATTTGATATGTTCCTATGTGTGTTACGTGTCTGGTTACTTTCTTAGCCAGAAAATTAGGGAAACGTATCATATTCAGCCTTTCTCCCATCCCTAACTGATCCCTTCTCACCAAACCCATGAAAAAAGGGCCAGTTAGGAGATCCTTCACAGACCCATTTATTCTTTTTAAAATACATAAGTTTAAAACTTAGTCCTTTGTGTTTTATATTTTTAACAGAGTAGCAATGAACTTCAGAAATTATACTCAGCCTTAGTAAAAACAGATGCAATTGTGATCTAATCATAAAAGATTTAATATAAATTATTAAAATTTTATTATTTGGTATGACTCGAGCTTTGTTTTCTGTTGAATACATTGCTAAAGTAGGATATGTATTAAATGCAGTTCTTGATACACTATTGGAGCAGAAACATCAGGTCTGTAAGATACTTAAACCCGCATACTGATATTTTAAACCTGATCAAAATGATTTAATTTCTTTTGACTATATAAAAGGTGGTTGGCTAAAGAGTATTGGAGTTGAAGTAAAAGGCAGTAACTCATGTAAAACAAAAGAAACATAGATGTTTTTTCAGGATGTCTGTGTTAAATATTTAATGTCCTTTTTTTTTTTCTTTTTTGGTGGTACTGAGAATTGAACTCAAGACCTTGCACCTGGCCTCCTAAATATACTATACTATCTTATGAAGGTCTTTTAAACATTTGTAAATGATTTCAGCCAAACCTATATATAGGTTAAAAACCTGTAGGTTTTTCCTAAGTTATTTTTGTTGAAAATTTAGTCTATAACTGTTGACTGTTACAGGTTAATGATTTGCGTGTATGTGTGTGTACTTGTTTTCTATAATCCTTACTAGGTATTATGTTGTAAGCATGAGAATACTCTCAGAGCTGAGAGTATAGTACAATGGTAGAGAACTTTCCTAGCATAATCATCAGCCTATGAACTTTAACAATAGCTTAAGATGATTTGTATTTGGTTTAAAAAAATTTCATTACCAAAGACCAAGAGCTAGATTTCATTAAGCATATGCAGGTTATTTCCATTCTGTTAATACTATTACTAAGATCTGTTGTATTTCATGATTATTAACATTATAAACTTCAGCCATTTATGACTTGAGGGGGAGAGAGAAAGAAAGGTGGGTATAAGGAAAATAGAAGGTGACAAATTTTATTTCTTATCATAATAGTATAGTATTTTGGATTTTTTTCAGCCAAGATCATTTTTATGTATTATACTGAACATACCCTTATTATTTAGCTACTAGGAACTAGAAGATTCAACCTATTGGCAGGGTACATGGTTAATGTTTGATTGAAGCTATATTAAGTAGAAAAAATTTTTTTTTCTGTGAAAGCATATGAGTTTTTTAAAAAAGCTGCTTGTTTTCCCCATTTGCAGGTTCTATACAGAGTAATGAGATGTGTGACGGCTGCAAACCAAGTATTTTTTTCTGAGGCTGTGTTGACAGCTGCTAATGAGTGTGTTGGTGTTTTGCTCGGCAGCTTGGATCCTAGCATGACTATACATTGTGACATGGTCATTACATATGGATTAGACCAACTGGAGAATTGCCAGACTTGTGGTACCGATTATATCATCTCAGTCTTGAATTTACTCACATTGGTATGTGACTTACTCCCCCCCCCTCCCTTTTGTCTTTTTGGGCTTTCTAGTTTATTGCTTTGTTTAGGCCCTTATTGATAGGAAGAAAATAAGGGCTTTCCTTTTTTTGTATGCATTGATCAACTTTATTTTATAAATCTAGTATACCTTTTTTGTATCTCTTTAGTTTTAGTGTTTAACAGCTAAGTATAGGTTTAGTCTTTTTTTTTTTTTTTTTTTTTTTTTTTTTTTTGATACTATCCTTAACTCTAGAGTCTTAGTATTCCTGATAAATACTGCAAGAGAGAAAGTATTTGATAGCTGTTTGCAGATACTGGTATGTTTTGTTTGCCATATAAAACTACTTTTGCAGTTTTTATTCTCCTACCTTTTTAACTATACGTAACCATCCCTTTATTATGGACATTCTAAAGTACAGAAAAAAATAGAATAGTATAATGAATCTCTGTATACTTAGTACTCAGCTTCTATAATTAGAAACAGATGGCCAATCTGGTTCCCTCTTTCTGTCCACACACTGTCTCTGCCTTGCTGTCCTTTCATCTCCAGCTGCATTATTTTAAAGAAAATTCTACCCCTTTTTGCTGAATGTTTCTGCCAGAGTTACACTTCCTCCCTGTGTCAGTGTTTAAGAAAAAAAATCCATGTTTAAGTTTAAAATATATATATCCTGTTGAGGTTTTAATTTCCCAATGATAAAATTTAACTCAAATAATTGAGACTAAAGAGTTTTTTAGATTTTAAGTTGAAAATACAGACTTCTTATATACTTCTTACATACTTTCCAGCAGTCTTTCCCTCTTATTAACACTTTGTGTGTGTGGGTATCTGTTAAAATTGATAAACAAATACTAATACATTGTTATTAACTGAAGTTCATGGTTTTAAGATTGACTGTATTGTATATTTTGTGGTTTTTTTCAAGTATATAGTGACAAATACTATTACAATATTACATATGATAGTTTTATTGCTCTTAAGAATCTTTCCTGTCCTACCTACTTATCCTTCTTTCTTTCCTCCCTTCGAATCTCTTAGGTTTTTGGAGCAGGTTCTCATTGTTTGGTTTAAGTTGGCTTCTAATTCACCATGTAGCCTAACCTATCCTCAATGTCATGACAGTCCTCCTGCCTCAGACTCCCAAATATACTGGGATTACAGGGTGTATCAATATGCCTGGCCTTTTTTCTATCTCAATAGTTGTAGAATGTAAAATAGTTGGAATATAGTGTGTAGCCTTTGGAGATCTGCTTATTTTAGTTAGCAATATGCATTAATTTTTCCATGATTTTTGATTTGATAAACTCATTTTTAAATTTGCTTTTAGATTGTTGAACAGATAAATACAAAACTGCCATCATCATTTGTAGAAAAACTATTTATCCCATCTTCTAAACTACTATTTTTACGTTATCATAAAGAAAAAGAGGTAAGCGAAATGGTGTTTGTTAACATCTGTTATTGAAGAGCTTAATGTTGCTTGGCTAGCTATGTAAGTGAAACTGAGTGAAATGCTATTTAACTTAGAATATAGTGATCATAATGATTGTATTAATATTTGTTGGTTATCATGCAATATAGATTTATGAATGATGCCCCACCTTTTTTTTTTTTTTTTTTTTTCCTTTTTGAAACAGGGTCTTGCTGTGCATTTCAGGTGGGCATTGAGCTCACCTTGTAGCACAGGCTGGTCTTGAACTTGCAACAATCTTTCTGTCTCAGCTTCCTGAGTGCTGGGATTATAGGAGTACATTACCAAGTCTGGCTTGCACATAATCATTTGTTTTTGTTAAATTTACTTTAGTGAATTTGCATCAAGGAGAAAGATGTACATACATTTATGAAGTCATAAATTTGGAAGTGCTATCTTTGTCTGTTGTAAAAATTAACTTCTCAATCATCCCCTACTCAAACCCACTGTAGAGTTTCTAAATACATGTAGGTAAACCTGTCCTTTTTATCTTTTTGAGACAGGATTTTGCTGTTGCAGTTAGGGCTGTCTTTGAGCTCACTTTGTAGCCCAGGCTAGCCTCAAATTACAGCAGTTCCCTGGCCTCACTCTCCCAAGTTTTGGGATTATAGGTGTGTGCCACCATACTGGGCCTCATAAACCAATCTTAATGTTTTTGCTTTTGTTTTGATACTGACCATATTTTAAATATGGCACTTGAAGAAATTTCACATGGCAGTTTCAGTTTACAGTTTTCTTTATTTGTAATAAAACTTTGTAACTTTTTGCAGTCAGATTTTATTGGTACATTTTAGGCATACATAATGATCACATTCATCATAGAAAATTTGTGCCTGTATGTAACTTTTTTTCCCCATCCCCCTACCCTCCCTTCAACTTCTCCCCTCCTAATTTCAAAAGCTTTGTTTTCATGCTTTCCTTTTTTTCTCATTTTAAAAAAACATTTCTCCTCTTTCGCCTCATCCCTCCCTCCAAAATTCACTCCCCTCCCCCACTTTTTGGTCCTGGAAATCGAACTCAGGACCTTGCACTTGGCAGGCAAGTACTTATGCCACTAAGTTATATCCGCAGCCCCAACTTTAAAAAGGCTTATTAATATGTGTAGATTTCTAAAAGTTTGCTTTTTAAAATTTCAAGTCTCATGTGTTCTGGGTATCATGGAGTAAATAATATCAATCTTAAATTTATTTGCATTTTTGATAACACTTGTTGGCTATATCATTTTACAAGATTTATTTGCTGTGGAATTAACTTAATTTTTTCTTTTTCAGGTGGTTGCTGTAGCTCATGCTGTTTATCAAGCAGTGCTCAGCCTGAAGAATATTCCTGTTTTGGAGACTGCCTATAAACTAATTTTGGGAGAAATGACTTGTGCCCTAAATAATCTGCTACATAGTCTACAACTTTCTGATGCCTGTTCTGAGATAAAACATGAGGCTTTTAAGAATCATGTATTCAATGTAGATAATGCAAAATTTGTAGTTATATTTGACCTCAGTGCTCTGACTACAATTGGAAATGCCAAAAACTCATTAATTGGGGTGAGTCCTTAATGACTTTGCTTTATCCAGGGTTAAGCCTTTTCTTGCTTCATATTCTTCTAATTTATTTTACCCAATAAAATAACATGTCATATGTCTACAGAATTCTCTGTAACAAATGCCATATTAAGGACTTGCATAAATAAAATTGGTAGGAAAATTTTTTTTCTCTCAGGTTTAATTTTTTCCTCTTAAGTTATTGTACATGTTTTTTTTCCTAGAAAGTCTTTTTAATGAATTTTAATGAATATTAACCAGTAGCTTACAGAAAAATTGTCAACAAATGTATCAAGTGGTTTTAATACGCAGTTTCTTTATTCTCCTGGTACTTTTTTTCCACTAAAATTAATGCTAACATATAGTCTTCAGTTGCCTCTAAGAGTATTCATGTATCTTTTTCCTTTAGAAGAATGAAGATTTTTTTTCCCCTTTAAGAAACTTGAAGTGGCTCTAGTTTTGATTTATGTTTCAATCTTGAGACAAGTTCTTACTTGGTAGTTCAGGCTGGCCTAGAACTCATTCTGTAGCCCAGGCTGGCCTCAAATTTAGGATGATCCTCCTAATTCAGACTCCTGAATATTGGGATTATAGGCAAATGCCACCACACCCAGATGATTTAGAGTTACTGTTTATATATTTCTCCTTTGCAGAATTTAAAATGTTAATTTTAATGGAAACTAATAGGCTATAATTAGGGAGAAAGTTTTCTACAAAAGAGAGAAAAATGAAAATTTGATGTTTATGCTTGCAGCATGTTATATGATCAGATTTGTATTATATCTAGCTTCTGTCATTGCTAGTTTTAGCTTACATTTGAAGACTAAAGTAAACTCTTATTTCGTTATACACTAAAAATTTATTTTCAAGGAATTCATATTATGTGTAGATTATTTGAGATGAGGCAGACAATAAGTGATATGTCTTAGCAGTAGAAAGGACAGTGGAAGATGAAAAAGGTGTAAAATGTCAGGATGTACCTTTTTTCTTATTTGACAGAGAACATTGACATGAGAAATGTATGGAAAAGAGGAAATGCATGCTACTATTCTGAAGGGTATAGAGGATTTGCTTAAACCAGAGATCAGCCTGCTGGTGCACTAAGTGCAGTCTAGTGTCTGTTTTTCATTTGCTTTTTAGTTACATTGAGGTTTAGTTGTATAGCATAAATTCCCAATTAAATGTAAGGTTTAGTTTTTTTTTTTTTTTAAGTATATTGAGAATTATGTGACTATTACTACTGTATTCCTATTTTTGTAAAGAGAGTTGTATTGGAACCCAGCCACTCTTCTATGCTTTAGGTATATTTTGTTTTCTCACTGCACAGGCAGATTTGAGGAATTGTCACATGACAACAGAGATGTTGTATGTCCCACGAAGTCTTAAGATTTATGGTTTTATCTTCAGATAGAGTATTTGCTGAAGACCCTAGTTAAGTACTAGATTATTTACAAATCTTGGGTATCATTTTAATTTAAAAAAAATGTCTAGACCAAATACACTAAAATGGCTGTAGTCATAGATAACTCAGCAGGCTGTGAAAGGGAAATCAGTTGAGCCCAGGAGTTTGAAACCAGCCTGAACAGCGTAGAACCCCATCTGAAAAAACAAAAACAAAAAAGTCTGCATATGTTTATTTTAAAGAATAAACTTTATATACTTCTGTATTTTGGAGGAGTCATACCTTTTTTTGTACATTGTCAGATGTGGGCATTATCTCCAACTGTCTTTGCCCTTCTGAGTAAGAATCTGATGATTGTGCATGGTGACCTGGCTGTTCACTTCCCTGCCATTCAGTATGCAGTGCTCTACACGTTGTATTCCCATTGTACCAGGTACTGTACTTATAAATTCACAAATCCTTTGTAAGAAGAGACTACACAGTTTGTGTTTTGAACTTGCTTGCTTATTTTCTTGCTTTTTGGTCTTCTAGTTTTCTGGCTTTTCTTTCAAAAAGGTTATTTGTACTTCGTCTTTCAGGCATGATCACTTCATCTCTAGTAGTCTTAGTTCTTCGTCCCCTTCTTTATTTGATGGAGCTGTGATTAGTACTGTGACTACAGCTACAAAGAAACATTTCTCAATTATATTAAATCTTCTGGGAATATTGCTGAAGAAAGATAACCTTAACCAGGATACCAGGTAACTGATATATTTGTAATGCTGTTTCTAATGTTAGTAATTCACTTTTACAATTTGACAATAAGAAATACAGATTACAGAGGTAGAATGTAGTAGCCCCTTCAGTGTAAAGCATTTCAGAGCTCATTTTCATTAATCTTTACTGCTTTGGGGAGGATTTTTCTTAAAAGACTTGTTACTATTTTGACAGAAATATCTGTAGTTTTAACTTTCCTTATTTGAAAAAATTAAAAATAGTGATATGATTTGTTAGTGGGGTTTTTGTTTTGTTTTTACTTTTTTCAAATGGAAAATGAACTGTATACTGTGTATTTCAGGAAACTGTTAATGACCTGGGCTTTGGAAGTGGCTGTTTTAATGAAGAAGTCTGAAACATATGCACCTTTATTCTCTCTTCCATCTTTTCATAAATTTGCCAAAGGCCTGTTAGCCAACAGTAAGAGACTGATACTTAATTTTATCAACCTTCAAAAAGAAGTATTTGATAGCAAGGGAATGTGGTTATTTCATTGCTTTACCTGATCTGAAAATGTATAACCCTATTTTAATGAACACATTTTTAGTACTTGCAGAAAAATTTAGTACTTGCAGAAAAATTGAGCTCAGACTTGCTGATCTTGCCTCAGCTTCCCAGGGTGGATTCAAGCGTGGGCCACCATGCTTGGCTTACTACATATATTTTTAAGTTTTCCCCTTTAGGAAAGAGTTGGTGTGAAAACTGATTAACTTGAATGAGTTTTGTTGAATTTATTGATTAAGTTTTCCCCTTTAGGAAAGAGTTGGTGTGAAAACTGATTAACTTGAATGAGTTTTGTTGAATTTATTGATTGCTCAAAGGTTACTACCAGGCAAGTCATGTTTAGTCCATAGTAAGCACTCCCTGCCTGTTGATTGAATGGTTTTAGGGAATTACAACTGGCATGCAATTTCTTTTGGCAAGCTGAAAGTAATCTCTATCTTTAATTTTTAATAGCTCTTGTTGAAGATGTGAATATCTGCCTGCAAGCATGCAGCAGCCTACATGCTCTGTCTTCTTCCTTGCCAGATGATCTTTTACAGAGGTATGGACTAGAGACTATGTCTTTTGACTGTGGCCCTAATAACATGGGAATGTTAACTATACTTGATTTTGTCTGTTTCATTTTATTATAGGTGTGTTGATGTTTGTCGTGTTCAGCTAGTTCATAGTGGAACTCGCATTCGACAAGCCTTTGGAAAACTGTTGAAGTCAATTCCATTGGATATTGTCCTAAGGTATAAGAATTTTTTTGTGGTATTATGTTTTTACTGCTCCTGAAATAGTGTAATTTAGGAAAAGACATTGCCATAATCGGTACGTTAATGCCACTTACATGATGGTACTTCTCAGTGTTGGAAAAAGTGCCAAAAGATCAAATATTGTAGGAGTTCTAGAAAATAACAAAATTTTATAGTTCAGTCACCTTAATAAGCTCATACAAATGTATATAGATCAGTTCATATAATGCCAAAATGTATTTTTTAATGATTCAGATGTTTATCAGCTATAAGCTTTTATTTTTAAATTAGGTTTATTTGAGAGCCTTAAGTCTTAAGATTATGAAGTTGTAATAACATCTTTATCCATTTGAAAGACTCGGTTTTATATTTTTTATTTGTAGTCCAGTGAAGAAATAACCTGTTTAGAATAAGTGCTAACATTCTAACTAAAACATTTTGTGTAACCATGGCTTCATTTTCTGTCTGCAGCAATAACAATCACACAGAAATTCAAGAAATCTCTTTAGCATTACGAAGTCACATGAGTAAAGCACCAAGTAATACATTTCACCCACAAGATTTCTCTGATGTTATTAGTTTTATTTTGTATGGAAATTCTCATAGAACAGGGTAAGCCACGTTGACTATTTCATCTTAGAAAAAGAATTTCAAGAGTATTTTGACCTTAAATCCACTTTTGAAATCATGTCTAGGTTGGCAGAGTAGAAAGTAGTGTTCTTTTCAAGTGGATCATTTCTGTTGAATAGGAAAATTCTGTTGAAGATAAGTTCTTTTCAAGTGGATCATTTCTGTTGAATAGGAAAATTCTGTTGAATAGAAGTATTAAATGTGATTTGAATTTTAGTGCTGAAATGTGTTGACAGTTAAGTGCTCTGGTTTTTGTTAACATTTGGGGGAGGGTATGGGAGGTATATTGTGCCAGAGTCAGTGAGTTTCATCCTGGCAATAAGAATGCCAAGAGCCATTTACCCTAGTAATCTATCCATGCCTTATCTTGACTCTTTTTTAACTGTTAAAGATTTCAAAAATGTGATCATTATGAACATCAAAATATATCAATAAAATTAATAGGAAAGTCTCAAAATGAGAAATGGGATTACAGTTTTTCTCAGTTTCATAGGCTTTTACCTTTTTTTTTTTAGTAGGAAAAACAGTAGTTTTTTCTATCGTTGCCTTTTCAGTTGTTTTGGATTAAATAAAATTTTCATTGTCTATTAAATATAAAACTACTTTTCCCAGGAAGGACAATTGGTTAGAAAGATTGTTCTATAGCTGCCAGAGACTGGATAAGCGTGACCAATCAACCATTCCCCGCAATCTTCTAAAGACAGATGCTGTCCTTTGGCAGTGGGCTATTTGGGAAGCAGCACAGTTCACTGTCCTTTCTAAATTGAGAACCCCATTAGGCAGAGCTCAAGATACATTCCAGACGATTGAAGGTAACCAACTCTTCATGCTTCTTCAAATTTTGTGATGTAAATAACTTTCAAAGCATTTTGATACAGAAATAATGGATTTTTCTTTATTAAAACAAAGATTTGAGAATAAATAAAAGTTTTTCAGGTATGTTTGCCTGTTAAGCTTTTATCAAATAGTCATGTTGGGCACATGGTCTGTTCTTGTTCAAGAACTTAGGGGACTTTTGTGGAAACAAGATCTTTTTCCTTTAAAAGGAAAGGTTATTCATGTTGGATTTTTTCTTCTTTTTTGTCTTTTTGAGACATGTTTTCATTGTACCATTCAGGTTGGCCTTGAACTTTGTAACTCAGGCTGGCCTCAAACTTACAGAGATCCTTTTGCCTCAGCCTTCTGAGTGCTGGGATTATAGGCATGCACTACCATGCCCAGCTTTTCTTTTAAAATAGTGTGAAAACAAACAGGATAGTTGATAAATGTGACTTTGTGAAATAAGGTTATATTTATTTGCAGAATCTTTAAATATTTCCTCATAATTTGGAGTGTTCCATCTGCTTTCAGGTATCATTAGAAGTCTTGCTGCTCACACATTAAACCCTGATCAAGATGTTAGTCAATGGACAACCGCAGAAAATGATGAAGGCCATAGTAGCAACCAACTTAGACTTGTTCTTCTTCTACAGTATTTGGAAAATCTGGAGAAATTAATGTATAATGCATATGAAGGATGTGCTAACGCATTAACGTCACCACCCAAGGTTGGTTTCACTGAGATAGTGTTGCTCTGTAGCAGTTCCATTGTCAAACCTGATAAGAGTATATGGAGAGCTAAAGTCACAGTAGACTTGACTTACTCGAATTACGAGACACATATACTTGTAATTTGAATCAATCTTAATTAAGTTCTTTCCTTTTCTTGTGAAGGTCATAAGGACTTTTTTTTATACCAATCGCCAAACTTGTCAAGACTGGTTAACTCGGATCCGCCTCTCTATCATGAGGGTTGGATTGTTGGCAGGCCAGCCTGCTGTGACAGTAAGACATGGATTTGACTTGCTTACAGAAATGAAGACAAATAATGTATCTCAGGTAAAGTGGTATATTTGGAATGTAAATCTGTTAGAGAAATTTTGATTTAATTACTTTGATGCTAGTCAAACTAAAAATAAGTTAAAACTTCATTTAGAAAGCTTTTGATTAAATATTTTATTAAAAGAATAACTGCCAAAGTTACTGACTCACATTTTCTATATAGTGTTAAAAATATTTAATTCTTACATGCTTTTAAGAATAATTATATTTGTTTATGCAAATTTTTATAAGGCATGAAAAAATCCCTAAATAATTTGACTTGTAAATTCACAATACTGTTCACAATAAATACTGTAAGTGGATCCAAAAAAGAGTAAGATAGGGGCTGGGGATTTAGCTCAGCGGCATAAGCGCCTGCCTTGCAAGCAGGCAGTCATGAGTTCGATCCCCGGTACCAATAAAAAGACAAAAAAAAAAAAAAAAGTAAGATGTTTACTAATTGAAGTAATGTCAATTTTTTACATTCATATTTGTTTACATTTGTTTTTTTCTTCATGTTTAATATAAATGCTGTATAAGTGGTCTTACATAAAAGCTACAAGTTAAATGTTTGGGAACTTGTTTTTTTTTAAAAGACACAGTCTCACTATGAAGTTGAGGCTGGCCTTGAACTCACTGTGTATTCAGCAGTCCTCTTGCCTCAGCTTCCCAAATGCTGGGTTTGCCTAACGGGTGTATGTCATCCTGCCCGGCAGAGTAACTTTTTGTGTATGTGTGTGCAAGATTAAGAGACCTAACACCTACCTGCTGCTAAGATTCTGTCATTCACCTTTTATATTAACTTTTAAGAATTCTAAACTAGTCAGGTACATGCCTGTAACTCCAGATCCTCAGAAGGCTGAGACTGGAGTGCAAAGTTTGAGACCAACCTGGGTAACTTAGTAAACTGTCTCAAAAATAAAACTAAAAGGGACTGACTGGTTGTGTAGCTCAGGTGCTCCCCAGGGTTCAGTCCTGGTAACAAAACAAAACTCAGTCTCAGTGTCCCAGAGTAAAAAACAAAACAAAATCTGTTAAGCTAAATAATGTCAAAATAATTATTAAATAAGTTTGATTTTATGCTTAGACTATGCTCAGTGATAGTAAATGTATCACAGATTTTTGGTTTGTTTTGCAGTGCACGGAGTTATTGTATCCCTGTTCAGGTTATTAATATTAATGGTATTGAGGTCATGGTAAAATCTTCTCAATGCTATTTTTAGGGGAATGAATTGGAAGTAACTATTATGATGGTGGTTGAAGCACTTTGTGAACTTCATTGTCCTGAAGCTATACAGGGTATTGCTGTCTGGTCATCTTCTGTTGTTGGGAAAAGTCTTCTCTGGATTAACTCTGTGGCCCAGCAGGCTGAAGGAAGGTAAGTTAGAAAGAAAGAAAGAAATACATAATAGAATTACTTTATGTTTAAACTCTTCGTATTGCTAAGTTAAAAGTTAGCTAAATGTTGGCACACACCTGTAATCCCAGATAGGAGGATTACCACACATTTAAGGCCATCCTGGACTATATAACAAAATCTTGTGTCAAAAACAAAGCAAAACAAAAAAAAAAAAAAAAAAAAAACCATGCCAAAACAAAAGAGAAGCCAGCATAGTTAAAATAGCTTTTTTTCAACTGGGCACGGTAGTGCATACTTGTAATCCCAGGGTAAGGCAGGAGAATTGCCATGAGTTTGAGACCAGCCTGAATTTATAATGAGACCTTGTCTCAAAAACGGAAAAGAAAGAGCTGTGTTTAGTTTTAACAATTTAAACTTAATAAAAGACTTAATTAGGAGATTTCTTGGGTGTCTATTTTAATTAGCAATACTTGAGCGCCTTTCTGCTTTAGAAATTAGTGAGAAATCATACTGGGAAATACCGTCGTTGATTATCTTAATTTGTTTGTATAAAGAAAAATGTGCTGTAATAATCTTGTGTCCATTTGTGTTACTTTAACCGTATCTTTAAAATTGGGGGAAAGAAATAACTGCCAATGATTTCATCTCTGAGTTGTAACTATTTGTTTTGGCGTGTACTGGCTTCCTAGTTCGTTTGTTCTTTCCCTCCTCTGCCTTCCCCTGCCTTTCCTTGCCTTCCCTTGCCTTCCCTACCTTCTGTCTGTCTTTTTCATTCATTCATTCATTCGTTCGTTCATAGTTTTCTGCTATCACAGACACAGCCATGTACTTAGATCCTAGGCACATGCTTTTATGAATTAGTAATTTTGCCACGTAGATTTTTAAAAGTATCTTGGCATGTAAATTTTCTCCTATTGTGAATCCCCTCCCATCCTGTACTGGGGATTGAATGAACCTAGAACTTTTCAATGAGACCTTTTAAACTCTTTTTTTTTTTCTTAAGATAGAGTCTTGCTGAGTTACACAGGCAGAACTTGGAATCCTCCCACTTCAGCCTCTCAGAGTATGGAGATTATAGTCTTGTATCACTATGCCCAACCTCCATTGTTTAATGTGTAGTTGTATTTGTTTGTGAATGTGCCACTTTATTGTTGGACATTTACAGTTATTTCCAGTGGTTTTTTAACTAATCTTAATGCACCATAGCATTTGAACTTTGCTCCGTTTTTCTGAAGACTCTTTTGTATCTTTCTATATAATTTACTGAAAGACTGTAGATGCAGAAGCTTGTGAAATAGAATACTGATAAGTTAATGCACAGAATAATGGCTCCAATTTATTCTCTTAATAATAGAGTAACCTCTTCACCTCACCCTTACGAGTACAGAATGTCATTCAGAAACAAGAATTTTACCAGTGAGCATACTTGCTGTAATTTACATCTTTATTAATGCAATTGACCTTTTTTCTGTTCAATTTTTCAAAGCATAGATTGTATCTTTATGTTTTCTCATTTTTCCTTTATTGATCCGTGAATTCCATTTTATGCTAAGATTGTCAGTGCCATACAATGTCTTTTTAGTTTTTTTTGTATTTTTCAGAAAGGGTTTTGCTGTGTTGTTCAGGTTGGCCATGAGTTCACTGTGTAGCCCAGGCTAGTCTCGAATTTGCAATGATCCTCCTGTCTCAGCCACTTGAGTGCTAGGATTACAGATGTGTGCTGCCACACTCAGCTCTAAAATTTGTTTTTAATGTTGCGTTTTGGATACTTTCTATGCAGTTACTTCTATTACTTTGTGGATTTTTTCTTGAATGCACTCTTCTATATAAGAATTACTTATGGCTCTACTTGTAATTTTATTTTTAACATTTAACCAGCTTTATTTTCATTTGTTTTGAGGAAGAAATGTAAATGCTCCCATACTCCTCTCCATCCAAATAATTACCTATTTTCTTAAGCTCATTTTATCTCAGGTAATGTATTTTTTTTAATCTTTCTTTTCTTGGGATAAAAAATATATGCATTTAAAATAATCTTTCAATTTGCATTTTAGATTTGAAAAAGCCTCTGTGGAATACCAGGAGCATCTGTGTGCCATGACAGGTGTTGATTGCTGCATCTCCAGCTTTGATAAATCTGTTCTCACATTAGCCAATGCTGGGCGTAATAGTGCCAGTCCCAAACATTCTGTGAATGGTGAGGGTTTAGTATTTACATAAAACCAAATGAAATTCATGATCAGATGCCTTATACTGATGATCAATCTGTATACTTTTAGTTTCTTGTGCTCTTTGAAATATTGATAATTACTCTGAATCTCCCTCTTATTATTTTCATTCAGGTGAATCCAGAAAAACTGTGCTGTCCAAGCCAACAGACTCTTCCCCTGAAGTTATAAATTATTTGGGAAATAAAGCATGTGAGTGTTACATTTCAGTTGCTGATTGGGCTGCTGTACAGGAGTGGCAGAATGCTATTCATGACTTGAAGAAGACCACCAGTAGTACTTCACTCAACCTGAAAGCTGACTTCAACTATATAAAGTAAGGACTTACTTTTTCAGTTTTAAATGATATTTAACTCAGTTAAAACCAAGTTTTATGTAAATAAGCCTTCCTATGGCAGAAAAATGTTAGAATTGGTCATACCTACTAATACAACTTTTAAAAAGTCACAGCAGGAAATCAGTACTACAGGTGAGGAAGGTGTTTGTGCAGTCGGAAAAACAGACTCATAAAATAGCAGTACATAACTGTTTTAGACAGGGTTGTATGTGATGGCTTAGTAAATTAGGTTTAAATATGTAAGTATGTGTTTTAATAGTGCAGAATTTGTGAGTGTCTATAAATTAAATTTTTCCTGTTTATTATCATTCCTCTGCATTTATTAATCCTGTGAGTTAAAATCAGGTTCTCAGTGGGTTCTGCACTCTTGGTTGGGCAGGCAAAGGTCATTAGACTTTTATGTTACACTAAGCTTTTGCTGGTACATAGTTAATGAGTAATTACTTTATTGAGCACATACCGTGTACCAGACGGTAGAACACAAAACATAAAACAGGTATGAATTCTAACCTTTTAACACGGCAGTTGAAAAAATAAGAAAAGAATATTGATAGAAGGATTAACTGTACTTTTCTTTTTTGTGTGTCTCAAGAAAAACAGTGTATGTTGGATGCAGAGTTTGGAGGGTGGCATATGTTTGGGTTAAGCCTATGTTGTGTTTCTGGAGAGTCATTCATTAGCTAAAAGTGAGGAACTATACAACTGTGGGGAATTTTAAGAACATGTGAAACCTGGCCCTAGAGAGGACTCAAGAAAGACCCTGTATTAGGAGAAATGATACACATATTGGTCACCAAGTCTTAATAGTTTATCACTGCACAGCAAATAGGCTTACCTGAGGAGCCATTAGTTGCATTAATGTTAGGTTACAGAATAAGCCAGGGTGATGAAATTTGTAGTGCTGGCGTTAAGTGGGAAGGGAAGGGACACAATGGGAGGGACTGTGCAGAAATAGAGAGATTGAGAATTGACACCTTTCTCTGGGTTGGAGAACAGCTATGCTTGAAACAGAGGCAGGGTGAGGGCTTTGAAAGTAGCAGTGTAGAGCAAGGAGGATGAGGACTTTTTCTGGCATCATGCTATAGGACTTTAGGAAAGAATTACAAAGGTGTCATTTTTAGATAAAATAAGGAAATGGAAAGAAATTCTTTCAGCAAAGGCAAATGTGTTCTATGAAAAGCAGCCGAAAAGGGAACTTAGAGAGGAAGGCCAGTTGTGAAAGAAGGCAGAAGTAAGGTGTGAGACTGAAATGATAGGAGGCTTACCCCTTGGGGCTTTGGCACAGAGTGAGTTGTGTGGGGAGTTAAAGGGTAGCTTGGAGAGAACAAGATGTTGAAGTCACCCTTTGGAGGTCACTGTTAGGTGCTGAACAGACTTCCAGGGTAACAAACTGCACTATACAAAAAAGAGGAAGGAGACACATGAGTAAGCCCAAGTGAATTTATAGCTGTGATTTTCCTGTTTGCTACTCCAATTTTAGTGCTAATTAAGATGGTAGTCACATCATCAAAATAAAAATGTTGGTGTACTCATGAATGACATTTGAGAACAGTGCTGTATTTTGTATTTCTTCTTAGAGCCTGTTTGTTTTTGAGTTATTCATTCCTTGGGTTGCATAAGTATAATAAAGCTGGCCAATATTTTAATTACAGGTCTTTAAGCAGTTTTGAGTCTGGAGAATTTGTTGAATGCACTGAACAATTAGAATTGCTACCAGGAGAAAATATCAATCTACTTGCTGGAGGATCAAAAGATAAAATAGGTATTTAAAAAATAATTTTAAGTTAATTTTTTAATGAACACGTTCTTTAAAATGTTGTTTGATATAATTACTAGACAATCTAGGAGTTACTGTATGTTTGCTTGAGGACAGAGGCCCATGAAAAGCAACAGATTTAGGGTTCTATTAAGATTTGACTTGGCAAATTAAAAACAGTTCAGTTAAAGTTAAACCAGTAGCTAGAGGTGATGATGTATGCTTATAATCCCATCATTCTGGGAGACAAAGGCAGGAATATCAACAGTTGAAGCCCAGCCTTGGCAACTTAATAACTTAGCAATACCCTATCTAAAAATGAAAAGGGCTGGGTAGATAGCTCAGTGGGATGAGTTCCTAGTAATTGAGAGGACTAAACAAAGGCTACATAAATAAGTTGAGATATTTAGAGGTGTTTTGTTTGAAAAAATACAAAGCAATATTTAAGCTAAATGTTTTTCTTGATTTGCATGTTGATGTAGATCATTAAGATCTTTATTGCAAGCGAAACATTTTATAAAATATATTAGTATTACAAGTGTTCTCTGTGTTTGCACTCACTGAATGGATTAAGTAAAATGTGCTGGTGTAGAGTTAAATTTGTTCCTTTAAATAATAGTTTGGTTTACTTACATTTCAGCCTTTATAGTCAAGTGATTTTAGGGGTGTAAGGTACAATTTTATGAGGTAATGATGTTTATACAATTGTTATAAATGTTTAAAAGTAATGTTCACTTCTCTGAAGTTAAAGGATTCATTGCGGGTTATTTTTTAAAATACTGTATATTTTCATTCCTGTAAATTAAAAGCAAAGAAACTCAATGAAATTTATTTAACTTCTTTAGATATGAAAAAACTGCTTCCTAACATGTTAAGTCCAGATCCAAGGGAGCTTCAGAAATCCATTGAAGTGCAGTTGTTGAGAAGTTCTGTGTGTTTGGCAACTGCTTTAAACCATGTAGAACAGGATCAGAAGTGGCAATCTATAACTGAGTAAGTTGAATTTTCAGGTGGTAAATGTACATTATGTGTACCATGTAAGTCTGTATACGGGAGAGGGTAGTGAGGAGGAGACAGTTACTAGATCACTGTATGCTCATCCTAATATGCCTTGCTTATGCCTTCTTACTTTTGTTGCCACATGGTAGCATGTTAACTAATCCTTCACTCCTCCAGTGATTACAAATTGAAGAATTATATCAATTAATTGATGGTAATACTTTCTTTCAGAAATGTGGTAAAGTACTTGAAGCAAACCTCCCGCATAGCTGTTGGACCCCTGAAGCTTTCTACATTAACTGTCTCCCAGTCCTTGCCAGTTCTGAGTACCTTACAGCTATATTGTTCATCTGCTTTGGAGAACACAGTTTCTAATAGGCTTTCAACAGAGGTGTGTAGAAAGATATTTTTGTAAATACAACATTTTTCTAAATATAATAGTATAAATATTAATAAGTGGTACTGTGGAACAAAGACCTTGCTTACTAACTTTTTAAAATGGTGTTTACAGTTGGACATACTAATCCAGAAATCTAAAATGCCATTTTCTGCGACTTGTTTTGATGAAATATTATTATAAGTACAGATTTTATCTTTGTAGATTATGTCAATTTTGTATTTGACCTCAAGAAACTCCCAGTTTTTGTAAAGTTCAGCCAAAATTGGGCCTCCCCAAAGGAATTTTAATCTTTGAGATTCCTGTAAAGCAATAGCTTTAATATTCCTCTGTAATTTAGCCTTTGCTTTATAGTAAATATACTGCTATTTTTAATTTTGAAAGTCCATTATCGATGACTATGTTGTAAATTGGTCTTCACTGTTCTGAACTTGTGAGTTGTTAGTTTTCAAAAGATTTTCTTTTGAGAATGAACTTGCTTGTTGAGATTTAAAGATAACATGATGGAAGTGGATAATTTTGTTAAAGATTGGTGTGGGTTGGAGGTAGCTGACCTTTTTTATAGACTTAAACTTGTTAATGCATGTCTACAAACATATAAGAATATTTTTTTACATTAAGAGATCTTTGTTTTTCTCTGACAGGACTGTCTTATTCCTCTCTTCAGTGAAGCTTTGCGTTCGTGCAAACAGCATGATGTGAGGCCTTGGATGCAGGCCTTAAGGTATACCATGTACCAGAATCAGTTATTGGAGAAAATTAAAGGTAGTATTCTTTTTCTGAAAACTAACTTTATTGAGCTACAAATCATATATCTAAAGCATGCAGTTTGATGAGGTTTAACATGTTTTACTTGTATAACTCCCAATACAAACACAATTCAGAATGTGTCGCACCCCTGGAAGTTTTCATTGTGTCAGCTGTTCAATCGTCTTCCCATTCTCCATGTCTCAGGCAGTTACTGATTTGCTTTCCTGTCACTACAGGCAGGCTTATCTTTGCTAAATATTTTTGCTTTTCTAAGAGTAAAAGTGGTTGTAATTTTATATTCTTTTGGCAGCTTGTGAAACTTACATTTCCATATCCTTGGTATTGTTATCAGTCTATAATTTTAATCGCTGAATAAGTATAATATCTAGTAGTATGGTTTTACTTGATTCATAATGCTGAGCATCATTGCATTTGCAAAATGGCTATTATGTCTTTCGACGTGTCTATTCACATCTTTTGCTCATTTTTTAAAATCCAATTTTAATGACTTAGAGTTTGTATATGTTTTGAACACAAATTCTTCAGCAGATAAAGGGTATCCTTATATTTATTTATTTTCTTGGTACTGGAAATCAAACTAGGGCCTTGTGTGTTGTTGGGCAAGTGCTCTACCACATATGCTCAGTCCAGGTTTTAAGTTTCAAATGTTCCAAATGAATAGCTAGAAAATTACTGTCTTCATAAATGTATGAATATCCTTTTTTGGGTGAAGGTACTGGGAATTGGACTCAGAAACTCAAAACTGTTTCCCTGCTGTGCAGCTGAGCTATAGCCCCAGCTCCCTGAATATCTTTTTTTTTCTTTCTTTCTCCTTTTCTCTTTCGCTTTTGCTTTCTCTTTCTGTCTCTCTTTATCTCTTTCTCTTTCTCTTTTTTGGGTACTGGGATCAAACTCAGGACCTCATGCTTGCAGACAGGCACTTATGCCTGAATCCCTTGCCTGAATATCATTTTAAAGAAAGAAAATACCTGGTCTGTTAAGGGGCTGCATGCCATGTATTTACTGCTGTGAAATAGAACAGTGCTAGAATTTTTTTATGTAGTTTTTAGTTGGAAAACATGATAGCTAGAATTAATAATTTTGAGTATTAACTGTCAAGAAAGCTACCTTCCACAGCAAAGCATTGTGGTGCACGTCTGTAATCCCAGCACTCAGGAGGTTGAGGCAGAAGGGGGGAAAAACCCCAAAAAACAAAAGCCTAACTTCCAAGATGAGGACTGCAGGGAAATTAGTGGTAACTGACTCAGCTTGGCTTTTCATTGCCAAAGAGATGTAGGTTTCAAAAATGGTCATTGATCCAACCTTTGCATATGTAGGACATTAGGGTAAATTAGACTTCTGAACTGCTTTCTTTTTCGGTTATACTACTTGTGAGATTCTTACAAAGATTTTGTGAGGGTGAGACAAGATATATAAAATCCCTACCACAAAGTATGGGATAAAATAACATTGCAAATATTACCACCTCCTTCCTCATCTTCCCCATATGAAGATTTAAAATCAAGAAGAATGTTAATAACTCAGCAGATAACATTCAGAGATAGAATCCCATTCCTCATTTTTATCCCCTGGTGTTTTGTTTGGTTCTGTGTTTGGGAATTTTTTTTTTTTTTTTTGGTCCTTTTGAGTCAGGGTCTTGCTCTGCAGTTCAGATTGGCTTTGAGTTCATTTTGTAGCCCAAGCTGGCCTCAAACCCACAGCTATCCTCCTATCTCAGCCTCCTGAATGCTAGGATGACAGGCATCATCACCACCCCCAACTTATATTTCCTTATTAAGGTCTGGATCAATTATGCTTCGTGCTAGTTACTGTGCTTAATTAATGTTGGTGTTTAATTAATGTTCTGTAATGCTGAATAAGACTAGCCTATTCATACTTTGAATCAAGGGGTTTCTGGAGACTGGTAGGAAAAATTGACATCAAGCAAGAGCCAACAAACAGTATGGTATATTGAGTGGAATGCATGTGTTGAATATTGAAATAACATACAGCAGAACCACTTGAGTTGAATGTTAGAAAAGCATTTGGGAAAGAAGTAATATTTAAAGTGTGGCTTGAGGAGGCAGAGGTGAGACAGGTTGACTGGTCAAAAAATAGCTTGTGTTAACTAACACCCAAGATAATTATGATGAATGACTTTAATAACTCAACTTCCTTGAGGGTAGAGTAGAAAGAGATGGAGCTGGTGAAATGGATATTAGAGTGGCATGTGAGGCATTAGGGCCTTAACTGCCTAGGAGTTGGGCTTTGTCAGAAGAACATTGGGAAACCATCAGGGACTTTTTTAAAGTAAGGAAGCGAAATGTTTAGATTTACTTCTGTGTACACTCTGCTGCAGGTTGGAAAATGGATTAGAGGGAGTAAGAATATGACAAAGGAACTGGTTAAGGTGTAGTGAAATACCTTTTAGAAAATATGGTAACTGTGTATGGCTGTAGGGATCATAAAACCAAATCAGATACAAAGATTGAAAGTAAAGTCTTCGATAATTGCCAGGCATTTGCTCAGGTCCTCTGCATTTCGTTGCAAAGGGGAAAACAGAAAAGAGTAAAAGATTTAGAATAATGTAGTCTGTTTGACATGTTTAAGGACCTTTGGTATATCTAGAGTGTAGATGACCAGTTAGTTGATAGGTGGGGATCACTGCTCAGGTCTGTGCTAAAGGTTCAAGTCATCAACGTTTGGATGGTTTTTTGCAGGCTAATTGAAGCCAAAGGAGATTTATCTTGTCCAGGGAGAATATACAGAGTGAAAAGTAGGAGTCCTAGAACCTTCCCCAGGAACACAAATGTTAGTAGATGAGTAGTGGAAGGTAAAGAGATTAAAAGGGATTATTCTGCAAGGGCAAAGGAGATCTAAGAGAGAATGGCATGGTAGAAAGGCAAAGGGTACCTAACTAACTGATAAAAGGAGGTAATTTATTTAGCCTTATCCTCTTACTTACCCTTTGACCTAGGCTCTCACTGCTAAAGATTCAAAAACTTTAAAAGTTTATTTTACTTACAGTGAATGAATTTTACCTTACATAACTCTGTGCATTTAATTGAACAGACTGTGTATTGTATGCCAAGAGGTATGCTGTCCCCTAGGGTTATGAAGAGGAGATGAAAGAGCAAGCGCGTGCGTGTGCATCTTAGGAATGCAGTTTGGGATTGGATAAATGGGAGACTAATAAAATATTTTCTTCTCTCCAGAGCAAACAGTCCCAATTAGAAGTCATCTCATGGAGTTAGGTTTAACAGCAGCAAAATTTGCTAGAAAACGGGGGAATGTATCACTTGCAACAAGACTATTAGCACAGTGCAGTGATGTTCAGCTGGGAAGAACCACCACTGCCCAGGACTTAGTCCAACATTTTAAAAAACTGTCAACTCAAGGTCAAGTGGATGAAAAATGGGGACCAGAACTTGATATTGAAAAAACCAAATTGCTGTATACAGCAGGTTAGTAAAATGAATTACAGTTGGTATGAGTAAAATGAAAATCTTGTGTATGAATATTACTGCCTATGCTGTAAGATAGTAATAGAAAACTTGATTATTTACAGGTACTGCATAATATTTGCTTCTAGAGCATTTGTAATGTATTTAATTCTGTAATTCAGTCCTTCTAAAAGTAGTTTAATTATATGAAGATAAGAGATGAACTTTTTAAAAATTTAATTAATTAATTATTTTTGATGCCAGGGATTGAACGCATGACTTTGTGCTTGTCAGGCAGGCGCTTATGCCACTGAGCTAAATCTCCTGCCCAATTTTACTGTATTTTAATGTAATTTAATTTTTTTGAGATAGCTTCTAGCTATATACCAGTTTACGCTAGCTTTGACCTCACTATGTAGCCCAGACTGGCCTTGAACTCATAGTAATTCTCCTGCTTTAGACTCTGTAGTACTAGGATGATGGGTGTGTACCACCATGCCCTCTTTATGTTTACTTGCTTTTACAAGCAAACATTTACTTTACTCTAAAATACATTTCAGTCATTTGCTTTCAAGGGTAAATGCTGAATTTGTTTTCGGTTTTCTCTAGGTCAGTCAACGCATGCAATGGAAATGTTGAGTTCTTGTGCCATATCTTTCTGTAAGTCTGTGAAAGCAGAGTATGCAGTTGCTAAGTCAATTCTTACGCTGGCTAAATGGATCCAGGCAGAATGGAAAGAAATTTCAGGACAGCTAAAACAAGTTTATAGAGCTCAGCAACAACAGAACTTCTCAGGCCTTTCTACTTTGTCTAAAAACATACTCACTTTGGTAGAACTACCATCTGTTAATACAACGGAAGAGGAGTATCCTCGGATTGAAAGTGAGTCTACAGGTAGGACTTCTTTCCTTTATTAGCTTTATAAATACTTATTTTAGAAGTTTACAGTTTGCAGTATTATGGTGGCTTTAATTTGCCACAAAAAGTATGTCTGAAAATGTATTATGCAATAAATAAATAAATAAATAAAACCCCAAAACTAGCACATTGTTACAAGCAGTAACCAAAACATATGTTTTAAAGCTCTAATACTGTACTTCCAACCTTCAAAGGTGTAAGTTACTTTTGTCACCTAGACATTCATGCTCTTGAACCTGTAGCTTAAAGTATCACCTCACATCAAGTGGAAAAAATATAAAGTAGTAGGTGAAAGAAACTGCAGGGAGACTTAACTTTGTTGTTCTGTGGTGCTGGTAACAAAGTTAGCAGATGAGTAGTTTATTCAGTCCAGCTTTATTTTTTTAAATATTGGTCCATTATTTATTGGTACTAGGGAATAAACTCAGTGTCTTTCATGTGCTAAGCAAGTACTGTACATCTGAACTATCCTGCAAGCCCTAATCAGTGTTTTATGTATTTTCTTTAAGTTTGAGAGATAATAAATCTCTTTGTTGAAACATGGAAATATGCTTTAATGTGTTTTTCTGATACACCTAAAGTTTTAAATACGGATACTGATCTAATACTAATGTATGTATTATCAGGCTCTAACTGCCTAAGGGAAGTTACATTACAGATTAATACAGTTTACATTACTGATTATTACAAATCTTGGCTAGGGAACTGTGGTGGGCAATTTTTTCTCCTCAAAAACGGAAAGAAGATCTTTGCCTCGTGAGTTTCTAATTGAATGAGTTGGTTATAGCCATCGCCTATGCAGTGTTTTCTTGGCAGAATGTTTAAAATGAATCTAGTCATGAGGAAAAAGGCACTTAGATGCAGTACATAGAACATTGTTAGAGCATGTCTGATACCTGAACTGTTTACAAAGTTTAGCATCACAGATGACATTGATATATTCTATAGGTACCGATCTAAGTTTATTTGGGATGCTAAGTAATTGTGTCTTACCAAACTGTACAGTAATGCTGAGGAACTTACTGATTGCTTGTAGGTAATGAAGACTTACAGTGTTAATGGGAATGGCATTAGAAATTTATGAAGACACTAAGTTCTTTTATTTTTTTTCTCAATCATGACAGTACACATTGGAGTTGGAGAACCGGATTTCATTTTGGGGCAGTTATACCACCTATCTTCAATACAAGCACCTGAAGTTGCCAAATCTTGGGCAGCACTGGCTAGTTGGGCTTATAGGTGGGGCAGAAAGGTGGTGGACAATGCCAGGTATGTATGTTTCAGTGTGCAGTTTATTTAATGAGTTGAAAAATAGAGATTTAGAGCTGGGTGTGGTGGAGCATGCCTGTCATCCCAGCAATTATGAGGCTAAGGCAGGAGGATATTGTGAGTTTAAGGCCAGTCTGGACTACAAAGTGAGTTGAAGACCAGCCTGAATTGCATAGTGAAACCCTGTCTCTAAATAAATAAATCAATCAATAAAATAAAAATACAGATTTAAAGTGTCTGATCAAGTGATGGGGATGTTGCTCAGTGATAGAGTGCCTATTTAGTGTGCATGAGGTCCTCAGTTCAATCCTCAGCACCACAAAAAAAAAAAAAAAAAAAAAAAAAACTGGTAAATAAAATGTTTGTTGATTTGGTAAAGTTTAGGTAGCGAAAATACTTTATAACTTGCTTATTTTTATAGTCAGGGAGAAGGTGTTCGTCTATTGCCACAAGAAAAATCTGAAGTTCAAAGTCTGCTTCCAGACACTATAACTGAAGAAGAGAAAGAAAGAATATATGGAATCCTTGGACAGGCTGTTTGTCGGCCAGCAGGAATTCAGGCAAGGAATATATGATAGTGTTTAGAGGTGGTAGTGACTAGGATATTCTTCCAACTCAGTGGTTCTAAGGGAATTGGGTACATATACTTCACTAAATGGACTTTAGGTAGTTAATTGTTGCACATAAAAATTGGAATTTTAAGTTGATAGTGAGTTGTAATTCTGTAAGAACATAATTTATTGAGAAATTAAAGTCATTTCCAGATCCTAATAAAAAAGAGGTAAATTCATTTTGTATAAATTAAATTCCTCTTACTTATAAATTAGCTTATCAAGTTCTGGGGCTGGGTTGTATGTACCTTAGTGGTGGAATGCATGCCTAGCATGTGCTAGCCCTGGGTTTATCCCTTATTTCTAGAAAGGTAGAAATACAAAGTTCTGAATCCTAGGTTGAGAGCTTTTAAAAATATGCAAGTACATGAACACCCACCCTGAGATTCTAAATAGGACCTGTGTGTGTTTAATTACCCGGTAATTCTGATAAACAGCCAGAATGGAAAACAGTGGATTACCTGAGCTGTACATTCATTCCCCTCTCATTAAACTCTTGTCATTTCTAAATCCTGTAACTATTGAGTATTTGTGGTTGCAGTTTTCAGTGACAGAATATTATTTGCCAGACTCTCTGCTCTTGGAGCTCTTAGTCTAAGCAGTGGTCTATAAATCTTTGCCAAAGCTTGTTTTCAGCCATGTTTGTGCTGTATTATAAATAGAATAAGGTCTATTTTACAGATTCTGTATCTCCTCACCCTCCAATTTGGGAACTATTTTATTTTTATGCAGACAGAATGCTACAATTTGGAAACATGTGAAGTACCAAAAAATGTCTTTTTAAATCTCTGCTTAAATGCTTTTATCTTTCTCTGTAGGCAGCCGTAATATGTATAATATAAAAAGAAACCTATTGACACTGATCAGTATGTAACACTAGTAAGGTGGTATAATCTTTCATAGATAAGAAAACTGTTTTCATATGACTGTCAAGTCATACCCCATGCCCCCATCTCACTTTACTTTTGTAAATAGCGTTTATGCCCAATTTTTTTTAGGATGAAGATATAACACTTCAGATAACAGAGAATGAAGATAATGAGGAGGATGACATGGTTGATGTTATCTGGCGTCAGTTAATATCAAGCTGTCCATGGCTTTCAGAACTTGACGAAAGTGCAACTGAAGGAGTTATTAAAGTGTGGAGGAAGGTTGTAGATAGAATCTTCAGCCTGTACAAGCTGTCATGCAGTGCATATTTTACTTTCCTCAAACTTAATGCTGGTCAAGTAGGTAGCATGTTCTAACAAAAATTATTTGGAACTTTTTACCTAGTAAATGAAAGCAGTACACTGAGTTGCTTTGTTTTTTTATTTCTCCCCACAACTTTCATTCTTAGGTTCCTTTAGATGAGGATGACCCTAGGCTACATTTAAGTCACAGAACCGAGCAGAGCACTGATGATGTGATTGTAATGGCCACATTGAGGCTGCTCAGGTTGTTGGTGAAGCATGCTGGTGAGCTCAGGCAGTATCTAGAGCATGGATTGGAGACAACACCTACTGCTCCCTGGAGAGGTGACGGCCTAACTAAAATGTCTTAGTAAATACTATTTCTGATTGGAATACATAAGACTGTAAAACGAAAACAGAGAAGACTTCTTTCATCTTTTTGAATGTTTTGAAATAGCTATCTTCATAGAATATTATAGACTGCTTTTTTATATAAATAACAGAGACCTTCCCTCCTACTTTTAGAGAATGACAATCTGAAAAAACAGGAGCTTTTTATATACAAATGAATTTTAGATAGGGTGGTGAAAATAAGTTTTAAAAGATTTTGTGTATTCTTTGAAAAATTGTGTTTGCTTCTTTGTAGGCATTCATAGAAAATATATTTCTTTAGGACACTTCGAATTGCTTTGAATGTTGATTATAGCTCTGTACTATAGCCAGACTTGCAAATCAAGAGCTACTGTATGTAGTTCTTTGTTATCATGGTGAGAATTTTGAAGCCCTTAAAAAGTATCCTTCTTTCCCTAAAGGAATTATTCCGCAGCTTTTCTCACGCTTAAACCACCCCGAAGTATATGTACGCCAAAGTATTTGTAACCTTCTCTGTCGTGTGGCTCAAGATTCTCCGCATCTCATATTGTATCCGGCAATAGTGGGAACCATATCACTTAGTAGTGAATCTCAAGCTTCAGGTATGCAATATTATAGTATTGTTACTATAAGTATAAATTATTTTACTAATAATTTACTGATAATTTTTGAGCTTTGTATTCAAGATTTGGTAGCGTTTGTAATACTTTATAGTAGTAATTGTCATTTTTAAGGGGTAACTGCTGTATATCTGGCACTAGGACATGTTTTCAGTCTTCATAGTGACCTACTAAACTGGAGAAAAATGGAGTAATTCAGGTTATGGAACTATAAATGACAGACCAAGCTTCATTCTTTGGCTAGGGAGGATATTTTGTTAGAGATTTATTCTTTGTTTTTTTTTTTTTTTTTTTTGTTTTGTTTTGTTTTGTTTTGTTCGTTTGTTTGTTTTTTGTATTTTTGCTTTAAGTTTTCTTTCATTAGTTTATAACTTAATAAATGTGAAAGTTCACCTTGCAAAAATGCAGATTATTCATCATCTTTAGTCTGCTTCATGTACAGAAAGCAGGTTAGTTAGACTAGTATTCCAGAGTCTAATAGTAGATTAGCCGTGTTTTCCTAACTCAGTATATGTACATGGGGGAAAAGAAAGTATTTCCTTTTTTCCCATTTCACTGTAGGGAATAAGTTTTCCTCTGCAATTCCAACTTTACTTGGGAACATTCAAGGAGAAGAATTGATGGTTTCTGAATGTGAAGGAGGAAGTCCTCCTGCATCCCAGGATAGCAATAAGGATGAACCAAAAAGTGGATTAAATGAAGACCAAGCCATGATGCAGGATTGCTACAGCAAAATTGTAGATAAGCTGTCCTCTGCAAATCCAACTATGGTGCTACAGGTACCCAATGCAGCTTTTGAAAACAGTTAATTCAATGCCCACCTAGGCAAAAGCCTAAAATAATAATAATAAGCCTAAAATAATAAAACTAAAAAACTGAATGAGTCAGAATTGGTTATCAGTCTTTGTGGGCAAAATCACTAGTCAGTGGTCTCTAATTGAGTAATGCACAGTAAGTATACACATTTAATTTGAGATGTTCAGTGTTTGAAGAATTGTGCTAGGTGCAGACTTGGAAACAAACTCTTTGGATATGCCCTGTACACAGGTTCAGATGCTTGTGGCTGAGCTACGCAGAGTTACTGTTCTCTGGGATGAACTCTGGCTGGGAGTTTTGTTGCAGCAACATATGTATGTCTTGAGACGAATTCAGCAGCTTGAAGATGAAGTGAAAAGAGTCCAAAACAACAATACCTTACGCAAGTGTGTTTTCATTCATTTTACTCAAAATATGAAGCATCCCTTTTTTTTGGTAATGTGGTAATCTGCCTAACATAAAATGTACCAGCCTATTTAATGGCATTAAATACATTTACTATTGTGCAGCCCATCACCATTGTCCTCTTCTAGAACTTGCTCATCCCAAATAAAAGCTCTGCACTCATTAAATACTAACCTTTCCTTTACCCCTAACTTTAGTCACTGGTTACCTCTATTTTTTCTCTGTGATTTGACTATTTTAGGTACCTGATTAAGTGAAATCCTATAGCATTTGTCCTTTTACATGTAGCTTTTTTCACTTAGCATAATGTTTTCAGGGTTCATTCATGTTGTATTAGAATTTTATTTCCTTTTATGACTGAGTATTTCATCGTAACATATTTTGTTTATCTATTCATGTATCAGTGAGTGGTTGATTTACTTTTGCATGTTGGCCATGTGAATAATGCTGCTCTCAACAGTTGTGTATGATGTCTATTGTCTAATTTGAATGATTTTGGGTTTGATAAAATAGATTTGCTGGATCATGTGACAGTTCTGTCATATGATTCCCAGTAGCAATGTGTAAAGGTTATAGGTTTTTCTTGTTAACTAGTTGAGTTTTTTGTTGTTGTTAATGGTATCTCATTTTGGTTTTGATTTGTATTTTCCTAAAGAATGGTGGTTTGGAGCATCTTTTTTGTATGTGTATTGGACTTTTTCAGTTCAGTTTCTTTGCCTTTTTTGTTTTTTGATTGTGGTGGTGGTGCTGGGTATCATACTTAGGAGCTCATGCGTACTAGGCAAGCAGTGTGTCACTGAGCTGCATCTCTGTAGCCTTTTTGCCTATTTTGTTGTTTTTTGGGTTGTTACTATGTTGTTAAATGTGTATTTCCCACATTTCCCACTTGATAGTATCTTTTAATGCCTGCCTATCTTTGTACCTACCTATTTATCTGTCTTAATTTTTTTGTGATAATGTTTGCTGAACTAAGGGCCTTCATACTGACCTATATACCCAACCCCTTTTACTGTGTTGTTTTGAGATTTTCACTAAGTTGTCCAGGCTGGGCTCTTGCGATCATCTTACCTTAGCTTCCTAGAGTGCTATCATTATAGGTGTATGCCATCACACCTCGCTGATGGACAAAGATTTTAATTTTGATTTATTCTAATTTATGCTTCTTTTTGGTGCCATTTCCAAGTAGTCTTTGCCAAACTTAGGATCATAAAATGTTTCTGTTCTGTTTTTTTCCTAAGCATTTTATATGTTTGTCTCTGTAATTTCACAACTCTGACCCATTTTGAGTTACTTTCTATATATGATGTAAGATAATGGCAAAACTTCAGTTTTCTGTATGTATGTACCCCATTTATGCCAATGTTATTTTTAGAAAAGAAAAGTTGCTTCTTAATGTGCTGGATGTTTTTTACAATGTTGTGTAAGTTACTTTTCAAAAAGATTTTATTATTCTGCTCTTGTTCTCTGATTTTTTTATTTATTCATATGTTATCCACTCAAATTGTTCCTTGTTTCTCTAAAATATTAATGTACAATAATAAATTTCTAAATAAAAATGTCTTCCTGGTCAGAGAAGAGAAAATTGCCATCATGCGGGAGAAGCACACAGCTTTAATGAAGCCAATTGTGTTTGCTCTGGAGCATGTGAGGAGTATCACAGCAGCCCCTGCAGAGACACCTCATGAAAAGTGGTTTCAGGATAACTATGGTGATGCTATTGAAAATGCCCTTGAAAAACTGAAGACTCCATCTAACCCTGCAAAGCCCGGAAGCAGCTGGATCCCATTTAAAGAGGTACAGTTCACTTTAAGAACACTACTAAAATGGAAATATTCCCTATGAGGTACAAATTTTCAATAAGTGGACTTTCCTTTCAGAGAACTTAGGGGAACATTTTAATAAACCTATGGAAGGCAGCCTGTGACTGATTGTCAAGAAATGTAGAGCCAGGCGCGGTAGCACACACCTGTAATCCCAGTAGTTGGAGGTTTAGGATGATTGCTGTGAATTCCAGGCCAGGCTGGCTACATAATGAGTTCAAGGGCAGGCTGAATTATATAGTGACACCTTATCTCAAATAACCAAAAATTAATAAACAAATGCAGCTAAAAGCATATTGCTGATTTTGATTAAAGATTGGGGGAGGGATGTGGCAAAGTCTACTGATCTACTGATTGTTCAACCAGGAAAGAATGTATGGTAGGTGATTAGCCAAGAATGGTGTCTGGTCTTGACATAAATGTTGGTTGTGTGCTGTGTTCTCTTCAGAACAGATAAAGAAATGAAATCTTTTACATTTATAATTTTACTTAGTATTCTAACAAAATATTCACATAAAACAACTTTTTTTTAAAGCACACACTGAGGACCCCTAATCTAAAATCTGAAATTAAAAAACTTTGTGTACTACTTAGATATTTGAATTAGGGATGCACAATAGGTTACATTAATGCAAATATGTATTCCCAAGTCTGAAAAGCCCAGAAGTCTAAGGCAATTTGCATAACAGCTACTCTACTTCTAATTGTTTTGAAACCAATTCTGCATATGCTACTTGGGATGATCAGTTTACTCAGATATTTGAGAATCTTTATCTTTTGTTTCAGTCTCAATTTTGTATTGTTTGAACTTTACCTGTTACAACAATAGCTTTTTTTAACTTTTTCTTGCCATTCCTTTTATCTCCTTATATCTTTATCTTTATTGATAATTAATTTCGCTAATAAAACGTAATAAAAATAGTAAAAAATACATACCAAAACAAATGTAGAAACAAAGTACTCCCAGTTTTAACTAGTAAATGCAAATTGATAAATTCAGAGAAAATATCTAGACATACAAGACGAGAAAACTGACGCAGGGAATGAAGTTTATGTGTGTAGCCAAATACTCTATAGTTTTGTGGGTACATGAGGGTGGGTGGGGGATGTGGCAGGGATAAAGCAGGACACCCAGAAGAGGAGGCAGAAGGGATACTTTTGAAAGCCTATCTGGGAAAAATAAATCATTAAAAACATTTTTTTTGTGTGAGTGTGTACATTTTAAAGAATAATTTTTTAAAAGTTACAGAAAGAATACCTGGGCTGGGGATATGACTCAGTGGCACAAGTGCCTGCCTGGGGAGTGTAAGGTCCTGAGTTTTGATTCCTGGTATCAAAACAAAACAAAACAAAAAAACATGGTGTTCCATTTTTGCTGTGTTGTGTCTAAAAATACAATGGAGTTAACTTTAGTTTTAATTATTTTTAGTTATTACCTACTTTTCAAAAGTTATTTGTGTTTATAGATGCATTTCTTTTCTTTTTAATAGATGCATTTCTAAAGGGCATATTTATTCTTGCCTGTTACTGAACTTCACTGTGTATAAAAATTTGTTTTCACTACTGTTTACTACTAAATTTTTTAAAAGATCAGTATTTTGTTCTCAGTGATTATTAGAAGATTATGGTACTTCACTTCATACTTCAGGTGGTCAGAACTCTAAAAATGTTGCTTTTATGCTTTCTTCGGTTAATTTAGATCTCTTATCTACTTAATGTCCTTTCCTTTATGTGATAACATTGATCCTTGTGAATTTGGTTGTAATTTCATGTTAACAAATTTAGAAGTGACTTACCTGATGATGGCTCACTGCTGGCTATATATTCAACCTTATTGCAAGGACTGACCTGGTTGGTTTTGGCACTGGTAAGGCATAGCTCAACTGTGGAAAGTAATTTTCTAAAAACTCTGATTGTGAGGACTACCACAGTACTTTCTTTCTGTTTCTTGTGATATCACGGCTTATTTGAACAGAGAGGAGAAAAAGCCTTAGCAAAGTAGGAACATGCGTACATTTTTGTTCTTTTCTAGGGTGCTACAAAACCATAAGGTTAAATTAAGTATGGAAACTAAATCAACAGGCATTTATTTAACCTTTTTAAAGTTTACTCTTATACCAAATTAAGTATGGAAGAAAATGTGGGTTTTTTTTTTTTTTCATAATTCAGACTTATCCTTCAATCTTATGTATATGTATATAGATAATGCTGAGTTTGCAACAGAGAGCACAGAAACGCACGAGTTACATATTGCGTCTTGAAGAAATCAGTCCATGGTTGGCTGCCATGACAAACACTGAAATTGCTCTTCCTGGAGAAGTCTCAGCCAGAGATACTGTTACAATCCACAGTGTGGGCGGAACTATTACAATCTTACCAACTAAAACCAAGCCCAAGAAACTTCTCTTTCTAGGATCAGATGGGAAGAGCTACCCTTATCTTTTCAAAGGTACAGTTCAAAACAATTCCTACTTCAAAATGTGTATTATTATTAAGGGTATTATGTGTCTTATTATTAAGGGTTTATGTATATATTAGAAAGGACTGTCAGATTGTTAACCAGAGTAGCCTATATTCTATGTGATTTTTGAATGGCGGTTCCCTTGCATATGAATGTGTGCAAGAAGAACAGTTGAGGTATATCTGATAATATGCTTACATTTTGTCCCTGGATAGAATTTTCTAATGCTGTCAAGTGCACCATGTTGGCTTATCCCTATTTGAATAAGACACAGAAAATGTTGGTCACCTATCCTATACCATCTTCAAATTTTGTTTTCATAGGACTAGAAGATTTACATCTGGATGAGAGAATAATGCAGTTCTTATCTATTGTGAATACTATGTTTGCTACAATTAATCGCCAGGAAACACCCCGCTTCCATGCAAGACACTATTCTGTTACACCACTGGGAACGAGGTCAGGATTGATCCAGTGGGTAGATGGAGCCACACCCTTATTTGGTCTTTACAAACGGTGGCAACAGCGGGAGGCTGCGTTACAAGCACAAAAGGTTTAGTAAAATTAAAATATGTGTTTTTTTATTGGAAAACTTGTTTTAAACAAGTGCATATCGATTTTCTGTATGGTTATGTGAAGTATTTCCAGTATTTCCAGACTTATTGGAACATTTTTGCTTGTATACTAGAGGTTAAACAATGTCCTTAGGAAGGTACTTTTGAGGCACATTTTCTTTTTCCTTTTTTTTATTTCCAGAAACTGTTCCTAGCATTTTCTAAAAATTAAAGTTGAACCAAAAATGATGACATTGGGTTAATGGGAGACATTATGTGAATTTGATATTTTACTTCCTGATGTTCTTATTGGGCTAAGGTTTTTTAAATTTAAATTTGTAAATAAGACTTTAAAACCCTAGCTCATCCACGCCTTCACACTGACCTGTACCTCTGTCATCTTTGTTTTATTTGGAGACAAGGTCTTGCTAAATTGCCGAGGTAGGACCTGAACTTGGAATTGGCTTGCCTCAACCTCCCAGAGTGCTAGATTACAGATGTCTACCATGGCTTCCAGCTCTTGAGTCCTTTTAAATATATAAATAAGCACTTTAAATATGCAGTTTAATCATTGTGACATCCTATTTTGCTCTAGTAAATTTTATACTGTACTTTGATATAGTTTAATTTAGAATTAATTTAGGCAAGTATCTGAATAATTAATAGTATTTATCTAAATAATGAATTTAGAATTCAGTTAGCCAGGACACTAAATGCTGAGGATGTTAAAATACAGTCTTGGGGCTAGAGATTTGGTTCAGTGGTACAGCACCTGCCTGGCAAGCATGAGGTCCTGAGTTCGATTCCCAGTACTCCCACCTCCTCCAAAAAAGATATAATCTCCACTTTTGGACCCCAAATTCAGCTAATTAAGATAAATGCTTCTAATTAAGCTAGTCATAGGGAAGACCAAGGGTGTGAAAGGAGTCCAGTTTTATTTTTTGTATGATGCTGGGGATTTAGCATTACACATACTAAACCTGCCCTCTACCACTAAGGCAGGAGTCAAATTTTAAATGTAGGCATAGAAACCCATAGAATAATTATTGAAGTATAATTTAAAGATAAAAATTAAAGAAGTGCTGTCTAAATTTTGGTGTTACCACATTTCTCTAATCTTGTTACTTTTGTGTTGGTGGTCTTCAGTGAAAAATGAAATACACATTTAAATGAATTATAAATTATAATTTTAAAATAGAATTATGTATATTGTCTGTAACTTAGATTATGGAGTTGAATTAAATCTCAAGAAAAATTTAGCATATTAGTTTTTCAATACAGAAATGGTACTTAATTATATAGTCTAGAAGAATTAGCTGTTTTTACATGAAATTTATCCAAGTAAAATAAAGATAATAGAAAAAAAGAGAAACTATATTATTACAATTGTAATTCAGCATGGACAATGTATTTAAAAGTATATCTTAATTTAGTATAGTTGTCTCCAGTGTTTTCATGTTTTTTGGTGTATTAGTCTACTTACTAAGCTATGTGAATGAGAACTAACTTTGTAAGGACCTGGAAGATAAATAAATGACTTGGATGCTGGCCAAAAAAGGTGGGGGAAAGGGAAAATAATTGAGTTATGTTATGTTATGTCATGTAATATACCAATTCCCCACAATGAATGAATCATTACTGCAAACATGTACTAATAAAAATGAAAAAAAAAAATAAGAAAACTATATTTAGTTGAGTAGGCAGAGAATGTTGCTAACAAATTATTTGTGTAAAATGCTACATCAGGCATGATGACACATGCTTTGTAATCCCAGGATCAGAAGTTTAAGGCCAGTCTGGGCAGCTTGGCAAGACTTATCTCAAAGATGGGCTGGGGGAGCCAGGCATGGTGGTACACACCTTTATTCCTAACACTTGGGACCTATTTAAAGCCAACCTGTGCTACAAAGCGAAACCCTGTCTCAAAAACAAAACAGAGGACTGGGGGATATTGTGCAGGTCTCTTCAGATTCAGTCCTCAATGCCAATTAATCAGTCATTGCATAAATAAATTAATATGTCTACTCATGCATGCCTATAATTTAGCTTTTACATTAATCTTCATGTAAAATTTCTTTTGAAGGCCCAGGATTCCTACCAAACTCCTCAGAATCCTGGAATTGTACCCCGCCCAAGTGAACTTTATTATAGTAAAATTGGTCCTGCTCTGAAAACAGTTGGACTCAGCCTAGATGTGTCTCGTCGGGATTGGCCTCTCCATGTGATGAAGGCAGTGTTGGAGGAATTAATGGAGGCTACACCTCCAAATCTCCTGGCTAAAGAGCTTTGGTCATCTTGTACAACACCAGACGAATGGTGGAGAGTCACACAGGTTAGAAGACACTATGGTTTGCACTGTAATCAAGTATCATTTTTTTGGCCCGTTCCTTCTTTCCTGTTTTGTTCAGACTCTTCCTCTTCCTCCTATAACCCTCAAGTCCTAGTATTTTGAGACCCATGTTTTAAAAATCTCATAGTTAGAAAGGTATAGGTATGGCTGTGTCTGAGGGTAAGATGGAAGGGGATAATAGGTGAAATGGAGAAGAGAATAAAAAATTCCGAAAGGAAACTATAGAGGCTAAAGAAAAGTCAGTTTAATGTGCAATTAGGACTGTGTAAGTAAGTGTTACGTGTAGAGCCTGTATGACCACATGAAACAATCCTTAAGAGTACTTTCTATTTTGAAACCAACAAGCAGGATTTCTTAGTTTTGTAAATGTTAAAGCATCAAGTCCATGTTGGCAGGAATTTGGCTAACAGTATTTAAATTGCTCCTTTCACTTTAGTCTTATGCAAGATCTACAGCAGTCATGTCTATGGTCGGATACATAATTGGCCTTGGAGATAGACATCTGGACAATGTTCTCATAGATATGACAACTGGAGAAGTGGTTCACATAGATTATAATGTTTGCTTTGAAAAAGGTAAGAGTCACCTTCGGCATTTATATGAGAGTCAAAAGGTTTTTGGTGAAAGGGCAAAAATATAATGATTTGTCTTTTCAAGGTAAAAGCCTTAGAGTTCCTGAGAAAGTACCATTTCGAATGACACAAAACATTGAAACAGCCCTGGGTGTAACTGGAGTAGAAGGTGTTTTTAGGCTTTCCTGTGAACAGGTATACAGTTTTTTCTTCTACTTCATAAGTATATGTGTTAAATGAACAAAACGTATGGAATAAAAAAAAATGTTTTAAATGAGAAAACTTGTAGCACAACATTTACAGCTCTTTTAAAAACAGGTTCTACACATCATGCGGCGAGGTAGAGAGACTCTGTTGACATTATTGGAGGCCTTCGTGTATGACCCTTTGGTGGACTGGACAGCAGGGGGCGAGGTGGGATTTGCTGGCGCTGTCTATGGTGGAGGTGGCCAGCAGGCTGAGAGCAAGCAAAGCAAGCGAGAGATGGAGCGGGAGATCACCCGCAGCCTCTTTTCTTCCAGAATAGCTGAAATTAAGGTGAAGCCCGGTGTTATAATAAGTCACCATCATCTTTTTGTTAAACACACATTTATATAAACATTGAGTAAACCTTTCTCTTTAATTTTTTTGGGCCGGATTTGGTGGTGTATACCTGTAATCCCAATACTTACAAGGCTGAGGCTGGAGGTTTGCCGTGCGTTAAAGGCCAGCCTGAATTGCATAACAAGAGCCTGTCTCAGAAAACCGAAAAAGAAAGAAAAAAATAATGTATAATATTGAAATGGCCATTAAAAAGGGGAATTTGCTGTCATCTTTTTTATTAGGCAAAGCTCTCTTACAGAGGCACACAATTATACTCACATTTATAGGAGGTAGGTTAATGATTGGAAAAAAATTACAACTTCTGAAACGTGAGTATTTAAAATGTTTTCTAATTGAACAACCTTTCGTCACTGTTGCCAGAGATTTGTATCTTTTTTTTATTGGCATGGTGGCAACTGAATGGTATTATGGAACTAATTCTGTCAGTTTATGGCCTTGTGAATTTGAATGTACAGGTTATCTTTGTTTGTAAATTTGTTTGTAAAATTAGGATGATGCCTTCAGGTTTTGTTGAAATTTAGGTAAAATACATTCTGAATGTTCTTAATGTGGTTTTTCTGGCAGTATCATTGTGTCTTATAGTTGACCCTGTGAGAACTCTCCTAATTATAATACCATTTTACAGGTGAACTGGTTTAAGAACAGGGATGAGATGCTGGTTGTGCTACCCAAACTGGATAGCAGCTTAGATGAATATCTAAGCTTGCAGGAGCAACTAACAGATGTCGAAAAACTGCAGGGAAAACTGTTGGAGGAAATAGAATTTCTAGAAGGAGCTGAAGGAGTGGATCATCCCTCTCACACTCTGCAGCACAGGTTTAAAACAAGACTGAATTCTTAATTCTTCATATGTCATGTTAAAGAGAATGTTCATGTTCATGCAAACATTGTCACTTGGCTTTGAATATTTATTATAGCAGCTCACAAAACTGATAAAAGCTTCCTTATAACTTAAAATTTCTGGCTTATTACATTTAACTTACATGTTTAACCAGTTATGGGGGGTAGGTGTGTGTAGTAATTAGAATACTAGGATTCATAAAACCTGGTTTGGTTTTCCAAGTATAGTTGTATCTGAATACTTTATTCACTTGAACAGTGGCAGTTGTTTCATTTACTTTGCCGAGGTTTTAAAAAAGCACTCACCTAGCTAGAGTGGTCCACATGAATCTCAATGGAGAGTAGATGCTCAATGGTGAGTAATTAAATGTTAAATGCCAAGCATGAAGTGAGATCTTCAGACAATAAAGATTTATCAAACATTTTCTTTTTTTTTTTTTTTTTTTTTATGTCTTTTTGCTTTTTATCGGTACCGGGGATCGAACTCACGACTACCTGCTTACAAGGCAGGCGCTTATGCCACTGAGCTAAATCCCCAGCCCTATCAAACATTTTCTAAACCTGACAGTTGGTATAATTTTATTATGAAATTGGTATAAAGTATAAGGTACGGCATTACAGGACCAGGAAAAACAAGGAGAATAAGAGATATTTGATTGAGTACAACCCTCAAAATTGAAGCAGAACTAACAAGCCAGTCCAGGTGGGCTTAAGTATGTAGAATAAAGTATAACAAGGGCTAGGGTTGTATATAGAATAAAGTGTAGCAAGTGACCTTTGAACTTGTTTTGTTTTCCTGATTAGGTACTCTGAACATACTCAACTACAGACTCAGCAAAGAGCTGTTCAAGAAGCAATCCAGGTGAAGCTAAATGAATTTGAACAGTGGATAACACATTATCAGGCTGCATTCAGTAATTTAGAAGCAACACAGCTTGCAAGCTTGCTTCAGGAGATAAGCACCCAAATGGACCTTGGTATGGGCTGACTTATTTCAGATAACATGTGAGCTTGTGAGTTTTGTAGGCATATGTTTGCATGTGGGGTTCTGATTTTTACTTTCTTTGAGTGACTGCTAACTTGATATGGGCATCACTGTGATTAACACTGTCTTTTATCAAAAGGTCCTCCAAGCTATGTGCCAGCAACAGCCTTTCTTCAGAATGCTGGGCAAGCCCACTTGATCAGCCAGTGTGAACAGCTTGAGGGGGAGGTTGGTGCCCTTCTGCAACAGAGGCGCTCAGTGCTCCGGGGCTGTCTGGAACAACTGCACCACTATGCAACCGTTGCACTGCAGTATCCAAAAGCCATATTTCAGAAACATCGAATTGAACAGTGGAAGACCTGGATGGAGGAGCTCATCTGTAATACCACAGTAGAGCGCTGTCAGGAACTTTACAGGAAGTAAGTTGCAAGTGTTTAATTTTCTTCCTAACTCATTTAGGATGAAAGCAAAATTGTGATCAGTTTTGAGATTGCAATTGTGTTTTATTTTTCTGAAAGAAGTGGTTAATAGAATTGGCATGGAGTTAACTTTTGTCTTTATTTCAAAAGGAGTTCCTGCTTTCCTTTATAACATAGTGTGTTTTTCCTAATTAAAATATTTTCCATTCGGAGCGTGGTCTGATTCATGTAAGGTGAGATAGGCCAGACATTGTTGGTACCAATGAGTGATCTTAGGAAGTTCCTTAAGCTTCAGCCAGAAAGATCCTTAAGTTTGACACTTTTAAGTGTGAAATTGAATTGTGTCCTACTCTTTGAGGATAGCATACAATTTTCTATATAAGCATGAGCCTTACAGTCAGGGACATTAAGGTATTAGCACTTCTTTTTTTACTTTTGTAGATACGAAATGCAGTATGCGCCCCAGCCACCACCAACAGTATGTCAGTTCATTACTGCCACTGAAATGACCCTGCAGCGATATGCAGCGGACATAAACAACAGACTTATTAGACAGGTGGAACGTTTGAAACAAGAAGCTGTCACTGTACCAGTTTGTGAAGATCAGTTAAAAGAAATTGAACGTTGCATTAAAGTATTCCTTCATGAAAATGGAGAAGAAGGATCTTTGAGTCTAGCAAGTGTCATTATTTCTGCCCTCTGTACCCTTACAAGGTGAGCTAGCTAACATCATACTGAACCACATCATTGTCAAAAGCATTGGTACTTGTTGAGATTGCATTGTGTCTTAGTTTTAATCCCGGATTTGAGATACTGTTTTACTTTCCTTTGTCCTGCCTCATGTTAAGGTTGCTTTCTTTTCAGATTTTGAAATCTCCTCTGTTGTATATGTGCCTAACTGTGCCTAACAAGTCACTGTAACAAGTATTTCTCTCATTTAGGCGTAACCTGATGATGGAAGGAGCAGCTTCGAGTGCTGGAGAACAGCTAGTTGATCTGACTTCTCGAGATGGAGCCTGGTTTTTGGAGGAGCTCTGCAGTATGAGTGGAAATGTCACGTGCTTGGTTCAGTTACTGAAGCAGTGCCACCTGGTTCCACAGGACTTAGATATCCCAAACCCTGTAGAGGCATCTGAAGCAGTTCACTTAGCCAATGGAGTGTATACCTCACTGCAGGTGAGCACATTAATATAGCATAAATTTTGTAAGTTTGTTTTAGACATTGACATTGTCTTTTTTCTGTCTTTAATCCAAAAGAAAAGTTTAATTTGCATCTTGGAATATTTCTTAAGCAGTTACTTGTTTATATGAGATTTGTAACCATAACTTGGTTACTGTTGTATAGGTTGTTTTTTAACTCATGGCATTAAATCTCCAAATGTGTAACTTAACTAAAAATCAGAAAACACTAAAATATATCTTACGTACTTACAGGAATTGAATTCAAATTTCCGGCAAATCATATTTCCAGAAGCACTTAGATGTTTAATGAAAGGGGAATATACCTTAGAAAGTATGCTTCATGAATTGGACACTCTCATTGAGCAGACAACTGATGGTGTTCCTCTACAAACTCTAGTTGAATCCCTTCAAGCGTATTTAAGAAATGCAGCTATGGGACTTGAAGAAGAAACACACGCTCATTATATTGATGTTGCCAGGTAAGTGAACGCTAGCTACCTCCTCCTCCTCTTTTTTTTTTTTTAAAGGAAGTCTTGCTATGCATTTCAGGCTGGCGTCAAACTCATGGCAATCTTTCTGTCTCAGCCTCCCAAGTGCTGGGGTTACAGGTGTGCACTGCTACATGGCTCCTACGTATGCTCTTTTTTTTTTTCATGAAAGAGATGGGATTTCCAGGTATAGGGATTCTGCTCTAACCTCTTTTCTGTTTTAGATCAGGTATAAATGCTCATATGTATGTCTTTAAAAATCTATAATTAGATCCACTGGAAATTGTTTAAAAATATAGGAAGATCTGTTCCATGTGTCGGTGTGCATCTGATATCACCATCAGGCTTGTTTATGGTGCAGTAGTGATACATGAAACAGGTAGTGGTGCCATCAATAACACAATCAGATTTCTCCTGTCACACTTGTGTACACATACATAAGTTCTTTCACATGCATAGAGTTTGACAAAGTTCTATATAATATTTTTTTAGTAAGCACTGGGAGTCATACAAAGGCATATGAAACACTTTACTTGACTCAATGGCATATACAGCTTACTTAGATGAATGCTTTTAAGTTATTTTACAGTTTCTCAATTTCTTTAAGATACTGAATACTGTGTTTCTTACCTCTACCAGAAAAGCAGTTTTACTTTGGAACTTGTTGAGATCAGGTAGTTCCTCTAGACAGGCGTTGTGTTCATAGCTTTATCCCTAGTGACTCAGGACCTCTTTCTTTGGCATTTCATGACTACAAAAGTAAAATTTCTACAAATGAACTGTCCTACCATGTTTTGTCCCATGGAAGATTTTAACTATAAAATAAAAATAAAGTTAATAGTGTAATGAACCTCATTTTAACACCTTTGGTTGTTAATCTGTACTTGGTTAGTTTTGAACTGCTTAGGTTATCTTGAAGCAATTTTAAAAATTCTTAAATAATACAGGAAATATGAAATACACTACAGATTGAACCCAAGACCTTTCCACTGAGCCCCTTCCCCAGCCATTAAGGTTTTTTATTTTGAGACAGTCTTGCTAAGTCCCTGAGTTGTCCAGGCTGTGATTCCCCTTGCCTTATTTTCCTAGAGTGCTGGGATTCTAGGCATGTGCCACTATGCCTAGCTTAAATTTAAAAGAGAATTTCCTGAATTGCTTTAGGAAGTGGCAAGAATGATGAGATAAATGTGTTCATAGCAAGGGAGAATAGTTTGAGAGGGGATTAATGACACCATGTCTTACAGCAATAAATACTATAATTTAAGCCAGGCACTTGGAAGCTGAGGTAGGAGGATTGTCAAGAGTTTGAGGCCAGTCTGAGCTACATAGTGAGTTCAAGGCCAGCCTGAACTGTGTAGTGCGTCTATCTCTAAACCTGTCCCCCTCTCCAAAAAAAACCCTATAATTTTAACATTTGTTGTTTTTTTTAATCACATCTTGCACAATAAAAATATTAATAGCATAAGCAAGTTATCAGCTATATACTGATCTGGACATAACCTCTTTATTATCATTTCTAGCATTACTTCAGAAAGTTAAATGCTAAATCAATACACTTTCACACACAATTTCAGACTTCATTTTATCTGCTCTTATTGAGGGTGCCACACTCAATGTAGAGGAATGGTGAGCATGTGCTGTGGATGACAAGCTTCATGCGTGGTTCCTACAAATAGGTAGCCTATTTGTTCCTTGTTTCTGAGAAATATTTTTGTGATAATCTTAAGGAAAATTTCATACCATGGTGAAACTATTTTTCCAATAGAAATCTCTCTGGTAGCTTAATATTCTTAATTCTCTAAAAAACTTTTGATATAGCTATTTATAATGATTTCTCTGTGTGTGACAAAAAGAATTCCAAAAAGTTGAAATTCTGATGAACCTCAGTTTTACTGGTAGTGATCTTAAGTACTCGGAATTAATTTTATTTTTGCTTTTTATATAAAATGTTTAGAGTTACTGTCTGGGTATATAATGTGCTGTATGAGTCTATGTTTATGCTAGTATAAGGAGTGAAAGTGAATTTATGATGATCTTACATTCAAAATGTGCACAATTTAAAACTGAACATGCCAAAAATGGTATTTTAGTTTGCGTCTACAGATGGTTCTACCATGTGGCTGTAGTTCCAATATATCTAACAATTTGGTCCACCAGCTTTAGAATTGTCTTCTTGACATTTATTTGTTGGTTTGGGAGTTTGTATTATTTTATATTTTTATAGTATATAAAGTGAGTAATTTAGTGATTTTTTTTTAAGAAAGTGTTACAATACAAGAGTGCTTAAAATTTAATGATAGGAAGAATTACTAACATTGATTACAATTGATACTAAATATCCTTATGTTATAGTACTCTTCCCTTAATGCCAGATTTTTGTCAACTTTGTACACCAGCTTTGAGCTAACTGATCGTGTCCACCCCAAAATGTTATTTCTCTTCAGTGAAGATTTTATTTTAGCTCCTTTTTCTTTTTCTCTAGAATACTGCATGCTCAATATGGCGAATTAATCCAGCCAAGAAATGGTTCAGTTGATGAAACACCAAAAATGTCAGCTGGCCAGATGCTTTTGGTAGCATTTGATGGCATGTTTGCACAAGTTGAAACTGCTTTTGGCTTATTAGTCGAAAAGGTAAATATTAATTTGGTTCTATAAGTAATGTAAATGCAGTACAGTAGTGGTTCACTGTGTGAACAGTGAAGAAATGAGCATTTTCTTTCATTTACATAGTTAAACAAGATGGAAATTCCTGTAGCTTGGCGAAAGATTGACATCATACGGGAAGCTAGGAGTACTCAAGTTAATTTTTTTGATGATGACAACCACCGGCAGGTGCTAGAGGAAATTTTTTTTCTAAAAAGACTACAGACTATTAAGGAGTTCTTCAGGCTCTGTGGTACCTTTTCTAAAACATTGTCAGGTAAGTACCCTGTTTAAATAAGCTGAGTTTAAGTGCTTTAGAATGAGGTATGATGGAATAGGCTTCATATAACTGTTCATTTGTAAAATCTAAGTGCTTTAAATAAGCAGTGTAATTATCATAGTTTTGCATGAAATACTTTTAAGAATTTCCATTTTTAGGATCAAGTTCACTTGAAGATCAGAATACAGTGAATGGACCTGTACAGATTGTCAATGTCAAAACTCTTTTTAGAAACTCTTGTTTCAGTGAAGACCAGATGGCCAAACCTATCAAGGCCTTCACAGCTGACTTTGTGAGGCAGCTCTTAATAGGACTCCCCAACCAAGCTCTTGGACTCACCTTGTGCAGCTTTATTAGTGCCTTGGGTGTTGACATCATTGCTCAAGTAGAGGCAAAGGACTTTGGTGCAGAAAGCAAAGTTTCTGTCGATGATCTGTGTAAGAAAGCAGTGGAGCACAATATCCAGATTGGGAAGTTCTCTCAGTTGGTCATGAACAGGGCAACTGTGTTAGCGAGTTCTTACGACACTGCCTGGAAGAAGCATGACCTAGTGCGTAGGCTGGAAACCAGCATTTCTTCCTGTAAGACAAGTCTGCAGCGAGTGCAGTTGCATATTGCCATGTTTCAGGTAAGTAGTTCACTTTATAATGTATTTTTCCTATTAAATATAAAAAAGAGGAACATTTAAATTTATTAAATTGTGCCCATCTATAGCAAACCCACCATTAGCATTTTGGACCTTGCTTTACAGTTTTTCCTTGTATCTTTTCTGTGTAGTTGAGATCATTTCATATTTATAGTTTATATCCTTTGATTTTGTTTCTATCAGGTTAGTGTGATAAAGAATATCCATGTCATAGAGTATATTTTTTTTTTTTACAGCTCCACTTGGGGGCCGATGTGTCATAGAGTATTGATGAAAGTAATATTTAATGGCTCAATTTATTCATTATGTGCATAGCTTCTTGTACTGAATATTATTTTTGACACAGTTTTTTTCCTTATTTGTAAAATAGGGCCGTTCTCTCATGGTATGATTGTGAGCGTTAAATAATAATGACTTATGTAAGGTGCTAAGCCCAATATAAATCTAGCTGTTTTTCTTTTTAAATATAGGCTTCAATATTGTCAGTGACTTCAAACAAATTGTTAGGCTTGGGGTCATTGGAGAACTTCAAATTTGGAAGTATAAATTGGCACATACCACAATTACTTTGTTTCACTTATATTGAAGGAGTTACTCAATAATGAAATTGTTGGTTTCAGCTCAGTATGTTACCAGTGTGTTACTCTTTTCGATTTTATCTTCAATTGTGTATCTTGCATGCTAAGTAATTTATTTCAACTTCTGAAATTATATTCCTGTTTGGGACTTGGGAGAATATATTTTACTACTTAAAAAAATGTTTAGTGGTCAAGTTTCATCTTGAAGTTCATTCCCGTACAAATGGACAGTGCTTTGGAAATCAGGTGAAAATTCTTTTTGGAAGCCAGGTGTAGTGGAACACGATTGTGATTCTAGCACTTGGGAGGTTGAGGCAGGAGAATCGCTGTAAGTTTGAGACCAGCCTGAACTATGTAGTGAGACCCTGTCTCAAAAAAGGAAAAATTCTTTTTGGAGAATCTTATTCCTCTATCCATGTCACATCTTGTCTGCAGCAGCTGAGTTTGTTGTTCGCTTCCCCTAGTCCTCATCCCTTCCTGTTTAGTATTTCCTCTGCTCGTATTTTTACATTTCTTTTTCTTTGAACAGTGGCAACATGAAGACCTACTTATCAGCAGACCACAAGCCATGTCAGTCACACCTCCCCCTAGGTCTGCTATCCTAGCCAGCATGAAAAAGAAACTACATACTCTGAGTCAGATTGAAACTTCAATTGCGTCTGTTCAGGTGTGTTTTATCAAATATGCTTTTCAGCACATCTTATTTGGAGAAATAACTTACGTTTTGAGCGTTAGTATTGTTCAGTATATCTATCCTTAACTTTTAAGTCTGAAAGACACAAACCATTTCCATTTTAAGAGTAACAATATTTTCAACCAGAAATAGGAACATACTAAATAATGTTTTAGGTCTGTATTGAATTTGGTATTTCCTTTGCCTTTATACATTAAGGGAATGTCCCATTGGTTATGGGAGGGGTGACAACCAATACTTGTTTACTGAAGTATGTATAAGTCATTCTATGTGGTTCATTATTAGTAGCTAAGAAGCTTGCACACTTTGTTCTGTCATGTAGATAATATATTTTTAAGTCAGAGAAACTGAGCTTGAAAGATTTTGTGTATGTCATCCTAAAAGAATGAACTCTTGTCATTTCTGTTTTTAGAGATACAGCAGGTAGCGGAGTATAAGAGAATGTGAATACTTCCACCTGAAGTATTGAATAAATAGTGAAATAGCTTTGTTATGTGAAACTTCTTGTCATGATAATCTGAATTTTTATCATAAATTTGAACGATTGTGGAAATCTGATTTTTGTCTTTGCAATCCAAAGTATAAATGAATTTTCATAGAGATGGCTCAGTAAAAATTTGGTGTAGCAAAAGTGTTACTTTTTTTATCCAGGACCTTACGTTCAATCACTAAACTATACTCTTAGTCATGTTTAGGTATTTTTTTGTTTTGTTTTGTTTTTGAGATAGGGTCTCCCATTTTGTTCAGGCTAGTTTTGAACTCTGTGTAGCTTTGGCTGGCCTTGGAACTTGTGGTGGTTTTTCTGCCTCAGCGACCCAGGTGCTGGGAAGCCTTCTCTCAGTTTTTTTAAAAAGACTTTTCTTAAAGATGGAAATGATACTCCATTGCTAAAAGGATTTTTAGAAAAAGCACATGCAACATTACTTCTACAAATTTTAAGACACTACAGGGAACTAGTTTTTCCCTTCCTAGACATGTTTGGCCTTGAAATATTCTAAGTGAGCCAGGTATTGTGACACACTTGCAGGAGGAAGGCTGGCTTGGACTAAGTAAATAGTGAGACCCTGTCTTAAAAATCAAAGTTTAAGCTGCATTCCAAAAAGATACTGTTAAAGATGTTTTTTGAGTTATATGTATTTCACCCTGCTGCTTTTGAATTTTTCTTTTATTAATATAAAATGCTCAGCAGATACAAAGTGGAGAATGTAATAAACATTCACAGAGATTCTACTGACTTTTATAGGAGAAGCTAGCAGCACTTGAATCAAGTATTGAGCAGCGACTCAAGTGGGCTGGTGGTGCCAACCCTGCATTGGCACCTGTACTGCAAGATTTTGAAGCAACGATAGCTGATAGAAGAAATCTTGTCCTCAAAGAGAGCCAGAGAGCAAGTCAGGTACAGTTAACATGGGTACATGTACCATCTTTGTGTTCAGTTTCAAGGTAGGAGTGGGCAGGAAGGTGAGTGTTGTCTGATAGGCCTATGTAACTAAAGTGAAGTAAAAATGTTGACATTAGTCTCACGTGGCAGGAAAGTATTTCAGGACTTTGTTTTCTTTTTTGGGTACTGGACATCAAACTCAGGACCCCTCACTTGCCAGGCAGAGCTGTATCCTGGCCCCAGGATTTTGTATTTTACCAGAAGTTATGGATTAACTTGGTTGTGATGTTGGAGTAGGCACATAAAAAAACAGTTATGGAAATTTTCAGAGGCAAAATTAGACTAATTAAATAATTCTTGTGAAAACCATGACCAAAATTTAATAATTTTCAACTTGTCTTGTTTCATATATATTTTCTACTCTTCCCTGTGTTTATATAAATTGCAAACATTGTATTACCTTTATCAGTAAATATTTCTGTATTTTCCTTTTATGATGAATTATGTAAAAACACTGTATAATAATAACACTGTATTAACCATACCTTCAACAATGCATTTATTTACCAAATATCCAGTTAGTGTTGGGTGTGATGGTGTGTGCCTATATTCCCAGCACATGAGAGGCTGAGGCAGGAGGATTGATGTAAGTTTGAGGTCAGCCATACATAGTGAGTATAAGGCCAGCGTGTACTACATAGAAGACCCTAATTTTAAAAACAAACATTTATTTTGAGTTAATATTTTGAATTTAAGAGTGGAAGCAATAGAAGAAATTATGGTAGAAAAAATTTCCCAAACTTTGAATGTAAGAAAAATTTTAGCTAAATATGATAATGTTGTATTATGAAGTAAATTTCCTATGTAAAAATCATGCAGAATGTACATTTACCTAATTTTCATAGTTTCTTTTGGCCATTGCAGGCCCAAGAATATTGACAGAAATTAAAATGTGCATTTATTTACAGCCTTTATGATATTTTATTCCATTTCCCAAAAGAGTCATACATTTCCAGGGCTAGTTCTAGTGTGTGACTTCAGCTGTCTTCATCTCTTGGAGTTAGGGGCTTCCAATCAAGCTCATTAACTATACTTCAGCTTCCCGATGTCCGTGGCTTCTCTTGGTAGCATCAGCACATTCTCCTCTTGCAACCTCTTCCTTCCACTGAACTTGATAGACGTTTTATCTGTGAGTCAGTCTAGCCCATTAAGGTATTTTTGGTTCCCTGGTTCAAGACTGCATGCAAGACCAAATCAAATAAGAGGCAGGACTCTTCTGTATGTATGTATGTATACTGACAAAGACCATATTGATCTCAAAAATGTTTTGGAAATAAGCCAATTTAAAGAAGCCATTTAAAGTCAAAATGTGGGGGAAAAAAAAAGAAATTCATAGCTTTTTTTTTTTAAATGTCATTTCATTTCATGTTGTTTCCATTTTCTATTTCTCCGCAGGTCACTTTTCTCTGCAGTAATATCATTCATTTTGAAAGTTTACGAACGAGAACTGCAGAAGCCTTAAACCTAGATGCTGCTTTATTTGAACTGATCAAGCGGTGTCAGCAGATGTGTTCATTTGCATCACAGTTTAACAGTTCAGTCTCTGAGTTAGAGCTTCGTTTATTACAGAGAGTGGTGAGTCTTGCTGGGATTAAAGAGACTTGGTGATTATCAGCCAATGTTATACTCTCAGTTTAGTGTATTCATGTAGTTTACACTTTCTGAGCACAAACTGTATAAGGTGTCATTATGAGTGATATAGTGGTAAGGAACTCTTACTCTTAAATCTTACTCTTGGCTCCTTAAATTATTTTTTATTTAATAATAAAATAAAGGAAAAAGTTAAAAGAATTCACAGAGCTATAAGCAAAGTAATGTGGATGGTTGGAAGAGAAGAGAAAGCAATGATAGCAGTATAGCAATGATTTCAGTGCACTGAAAATAGAGCAGTAGAAAAAGGGCTAGCCCAAGGTAGATGCTAGAAAGGTGAATTAGGTAAAAAAAAGTCAACTTAATAAGTTTAGTGTTTGTATTTTGTGGGAAGAGTTTATGCTATGAATTAGAAAGCTCTGGTTTAATTTCCAAGAGGTATTTAGAATGAATTTAGGGACCTGAATGCCAATCATCTTTGTCATTCCAAAGTTCCAAAATGTCATTCCATTTCTTAGGTCTTGAACTTTAACCATTTGTACCCTATATGAATTATGAAGACTCAGAAAACTGTTTCTCTTTTTTGTCAAGTTTTCACTTCTGATATTAATGTCTTATGGTTGTTGAGATAATGATAGGATATATTTCATCTCATGTAAAAATCAAATAAATGCTTGCTCTGTTTAGGATACCAATCTTGAACATCCTATTGGCAGTTCTGAGTGGCTTCTGTCAGCACACAAACAGTTGACCCAAGATATGTCTACTCAGAGGACAATTCAGACAGAGAAAGAACAACAGATAGAAACAGTCTGTGAAACAATCCAGAATCTGGTTGATAATATAAAGACTGTGCTCACTGGTCATAATCGACAGCTAGGAGATGTCAAACATCTCCTGAAAGCAATGGCTAAGGTAAGATTTAATACCATTAACATAGTTTACCCTGTCTTCTTCAGAAGTACAAATAGTTTGTTTATGGAATGATAGTGATGGTTCGTAAACAAAAGCAGTTTTCAGAGTCAAATCTTAGAAATTATTTGTGATACAATTAGTTTGTGTCTTTTTCAGACTTATTTTTTAAAACCAGTAGCACTCTTCTGATTTTTGTACACAGAAACTGAGTCTTAAATTTATTTATAGAATCTGATATAGTTTATGATAGACTTGAGCTGACCTGAAATCCCAGCACTGGAGGCTGAGGCAATAGGATCGGTGCAAGTTTGAGGCCAGCCTGAACTGCAGAGAGAGACCCTGTCTCAAAAAGACAATCAACCAATAATCAAGAAACCAAACAAAAAACTGACTTAAACCTTAGATTGTTTACATTTCAACCTCTCATCCTCTTCTCCACTTACACATCATAGTTCACCTCCAAAATGAATAATGAATGGTTATTTGGAACCATGAATAGTTTTTTGTTTTTGTTTTGGTTTTTTTTTTTGGTGCTGTGAATGGAACTCATGACCTCACACTTGCCAAGCAGGCACTTTGCTGCTGAGCTGTAGTCCCTGGTCCAGTTTTTTTTGTTGTTTTGTTTTGTTTTGGTGGTGGGGATCAAACTCACAACCTCAGGCTTGCCAGGCAGATGCTTAGACTGCTGAGCTAAATCACAGGCCCCAAAGTGAATAGAAATATTATGCCTTCCCTCCAGTATTCTACATAATATAGTTTAGTAAGGAAACAGCCCCTAGAGAAGGCTGAATTACTTCATCATGACAAAACAGTAATTTAAGGATTCATTTCTTACTTGACTTTTATTTATTGCTAGAAACAAAGGTGCTATAGAAAAAAACTTGAAATAAGTAGGTTAAACACATTAATATTTGAAAAATGTATACCTCTTAACAGGTGACTGTCGAAAGACTAGTTACTGAGACAAAAACTATTTTCCTTAATCATTAATATATTGATTATAGGATGAAGAAGCTGCTCTGGCAGATGGTGAAGATGTTCCCTATGAGAACAGTGTTAGGCAGTTCTTGGGTGAATATAAATCATGGCAAGACAACATTCAGACAGTTCTGTTTACATTAGTCCAGGCTATGGGTCAGGTTCGAAGTCAAGAACATGTTGAAATGCTCCAGGAAATCACTCCTACCTTGAAAGAACTGAAAACACAAAGTCAGAGGTAAGAATGTCTTAGGGCTAAAGTTTATAAGCAAAGCATCTGGTATTATTTTATCTCTTGATTTTTATCTTTTCAGCTTTGCTTATAGTTTTGTAAGTAGTTATTCTGGTAAAACATTACATAAACATTTCATAAATTTTGTGTTTCAGTATCTATAATAATTTAGTGAGTTTTGCATCACCGTTAGTTACCGATGCAACAAATGAGTGTTCGAGTCCAACGTCGTCTGCTACCTATCAGCCTTCCTTTGCTGCAGGTAGGAAGAGAGACCTGGATCTTGACCTGTTCACAGTCTGTGTGTAGATGTTAAAATGTTTATAATCTTGCATGAAAGTCTGGTAGATTTATAGTCACATTTTGAAAAATGTTTTCTTAAACCTTCGTCATAAGTCAGAATCAACATACTTTGCCGTATCTTTTTTTTTTCCCTTCCTTGTACTAAGATGGAACTTAATGACCTTGTCCTTACCAGGCAGATGCTTATGCTGCTGAACCATATTCCCAGCCCTGTCTTTAAAAGAGAACAGAAATACCTTGTATTCACAGCTCCTTAAAGTTTTATTTTATGAAGTAAAAATATACGATCATTGAGAAATTTAGAAAAATACTTAGGGAAAGGACATTGTTCCATTGCATTTGGAGGTAAAAACCACTGTGCATTTGTTGGTTTACTTCTGTGCATGTATGTGTGTGCACACATGCATATAAACACACTGGGATTATGTTGTAATGGAGTTTTGGTTGCCTTTTCCCACATAAATATGTAATTTTTTTTAATCTTAATTCTTCTAAAAAATGACCTACTTGCCAGATTTAGTATGCCATCCTATTTACCATATTAATCTTACATTGCTGCATATCTAAGATATTTATGATTTTTGATGCTACAAGTGTGGTGAATCGCATCATACAAATTCACATCTGAACACCTTAGTGTTGAGGCTATATTTTTAGGAAGGTAGTTGGTATGTCAAGAGATAAGGACTTTAAAGTTATAAATAAAATTCAGTGTTTAGTATTTTTTGAGATAATCCCCACCATGTCCCTTGCTATTCTCTTTGTCCCCCTCTGATTTTGTTTACATGTAATTGAGCCACCAACTCTTTCCATAGCAGTCCGGAGCAACACAGGCCAGAAGACTCAGCCTGATGTCATGTCACAGAATGCTAAAAAGCTGATTCAGAAAAATCTTGCTACATCGGCAGATACTCCACCAAGCACCATCCCAGGAACTGGCAAGAACGTTGCTTGTAGTCCTAAAAAGGCTGTCAGAGATCCTAAAACTGGGAAAGGTAAGTAAGAATAAAGTCACCTAAAATTTTTTATGAAATGGTGGTTTGACTTAAATATGTTTCATTGTTTCATAGCTGTGCAAGAGAGAAATTCATATGCAGTGAGTGTGTGGAAGAGAGTGAAAGCCAAGTTAGAAGGCCGAGATGTTGATCCCAACAGGCGGATGTCAGTTGCTGAACAGGTGACTGCTTTTTAAAATTGAGTTAAACTTAGTTGGAAATTTGTATGTTTAAAGATTCCCCTCACCTGTTTCTTTAGTGGTTCATGAAGAAATAAGGAACTTTAAAAAAACCAATTTTCAGGATTCAAAAGATTTTGAGTAACACAGCTCAGGACTTGTCAGATAGATTCTGATCCTTCCCTGTTATATTAGTGCTCCTTTCCCCTCACCACTTTGAACTGAAATTTAAGTTATGACTCAAGAATATCTGAAGGTTTGACATGAAAGGAAGATGAAATGTGCATTGTAGGAATGGTATCTATAAAACCTGTCATGGGCCTGGGGTTTAGTTCAGCGGCACAGATGCCTGCCTGGCAAGCATGAAGTTGTGAATTTGATCCTGGGCACCAGAAAACAAAACAAAACAGTGTCTGAAGTCATTACTCTGAAATTTTCTCATTGGTATTAATGATAAATTGATAAATGAATTTGAGGATCATTTTTTAACCCCTAGCTATTTATTTTGAGGAGGGGTTTGTTTGTTTTGTTATTGTCTTTTTAAGACAGGGTTTCACAACAATTCAAGCTGGCCTTGGACTCACTTTTTTTGAGGTGGGGGGGGGTCTTTTTCCTTTTTATTGGTACCAGGGATCAAACTCAGGACTGCCTGCTTGCAAGGCAGGCACTTATGCCGCTGAGCTAAATCCCCAGCCCTTTTGGACTCACTTTTAATCTAGGCTCACAATGAGCCTTCTGCCTTAGTGTCCCAAGTGCTACAATTACAAGTGTGTACCACAGTGCCCAGCTATTTCAAGAATTTTTAAGCCTGCAAAAAAGCTGTAGGAATGCCCTTACACTTTTTACTTTGACTTAACCAGTTCTTCGTATTTTCCACATTTGTTTCATTTTTCTTAGTGTGATGCATGAGTTAACTCCAAGAATGTGCATAGGGTTGTTAGGGTTCTCTTCATCTCAGAATTCAAAAGAACCTCTCCACTAGCCGTGGTGGCATACACCTGTAACCCCAGCACTTGGGAGGATGAGGCAGGAGGATTGTTGCAAGTTTGAGACCACCCTGGGATACAAAGAAGGCCAGGCCAAACTGCATAGTGAGATCCTGTCTCAGAAAGACCCCTCCCCCCCAAAAAAAAAATATTTCCTAAGACACATATATCTTGTAGTCTGTAGTGTTATAGGAGAACCTAACATCTCTTTCCACAACAGCAAATAACGTGTTCTTTGGGTAATTAATTTGGAAAATTATAACTTTTCCCCCTTTTTATTAGTATATGTTTGCAGTACATAATAATTGCATTCATTGTGAATAATAATGTAAATAATTCATAAGTTGGTGTGGTAGTGCATGCCTGTAATAGCAGTATTTGGGAAGCTGAGACAGGAGGATTCTTATGAGTTTGAGGCCAACCTGAATTATACTGTCTCAAAAAAATAGGTAATTCATATAACTTGCATATGAACCATATCCTTTCAAGTTGTCAGTGGTTTTAAATACCATTCTGCCTATTTTTACAGGTTGACTATGTCATTAAAGAAGCGACTAATCTAGATAACTTGGCTCAGCTCTATGAAGGTTGGACAGCCTGGGTGTGAATGGCAAGACAGTAGATGAGTCTGGTTAAGTGAGGTCAGACATCACCAGAATCAACTCAGCCTCAGGCATCCAAAGCCACACCACAGTCGGTGGTGATGCAACTGGGGGCTTACTCTGAGGAAACCTAGGAAATCTCGGTGCACTAGGAAGTGAATCCTGCAGGACAGCTGCACTCAGGGATACGCCCTACACCATGGCCTGCAACCCCAGGGTCACGGGAAAAGAAAGCAAGCTCACCGCCTGAACACGGAGATTGTCTTTCTGCCACAGAACAGCAGCAAACGTGTCAGGAGGTTAGCTGAGAAGGAAATCGGGATGCGCGGAACACAGAGTGATTTGGAACTCCATTCCACCTGACCCTGTGTGTACGATCCAGGAAAAACAAATCCCGCTCAGAAACAGAGAAAAATGGGGCCGCGAAGAAATCATAGCCAAGGAAGATAAGTTTGCATTCAGATGCTCGTAAAACACTTGTTGCTTGGCAACAGTACTGGTTGGGTTGACCAGTAAGTACAAAAAGGCTATGTGATACAAATTTCAGATACGGACTGAAAATGGAGAGCTTTGTAACAGATACACTACATTGGAAGAACTTCTGTAATGAAGGGAAAAAAAACACCCCATCAGTCCCTGCTCCTCCCAGCCACTTCCCCTCTCCTATTCACCTAATCTAGTGGATTAGCCATCTTTCAGATTCACTTTTATTTCAATCCTTGTATTTTGTATACTTCCAACTCAGTGCTGTTAACTTGTATTTGGAGAGAGAAACAGGAATTCCTCCAAAACTACTGATAACATGGGAAATTCAAGGATTGTTAAAAGGTGTGAGGATCATATACAAAATGTAATTCTGATTATTTGAGTCATTTCTGTGATTCTATCATGTACAGTTTCCAGAATTGTCACTGTGCATTCAAAAGTAATGAATCTTATAGACATTTGATTTATGTACACTCCCCTTTTCTTATAGTGTACATTTTTTGGAGGTCATCAAATTTTCCCTCTTCTGTGATTGCTGTAGTTTTTTTTTTTTCATAGAAAGTAGCTAATCCGATGTAATCTTTTACCTTTTAAAAAACCAGGATAGAGTACCTATTAGAGTTTTACATTGTTGGCTACAGATTAACAATAAAGTGATGTTCTGGTGGAGGTAGAGTGAATTGTTTAATTCAGTTTCCTTATTTGATACTTTTAATTTACAGTTTGTAAATTAAAAGTGCTTTAGTTTGCTTGGCCATTTCAGAACATGTACATGAAACATTAACAAAAGTAAAAACCACCAACAACTTTTATTAAGTTATTAGTCTGTGGAATGCTTTATTTTTGCATAATTTTAATAGCTTGCTATTCAGTGATACAGTATAATGAATTCATGATCAAGTTTCCTTAAATTCAGTATTGCATTTCAGTACTGACTGAACTAAATTGTTGATCTAAAATTAAAGTGCAGACTAGGATTCTTAAAATCACGCATCAACACAAAATAGGACATGATTTAAATCTTTAATTTTTTGAATATTTTCCTTGCATTTTACAAGTTGTGACAGGGGTTGCTTTCTACTTGCCAGTCTTTACAGACAAATTTGAAAGGTACTAAGGAAAAATTCCACACAGCTCTCTGGTCCTTTTCTGTATTGTGATTGCCACATTAATTTGTAATCTTTACCCAGGAGAAGATAAATTTCAGTACCAGTGCTTTAAACAAGTATTGATAGAAAGGTGGTATTTTTTGAATACCTGTGACTAAAAACAAGGAAACTAGCACATCAAATTTTATTTTCTTGATTGATTCTGAGTCTTATTTTCACAGTCAAAACAACTTTGCTGAAATAATACTGTATTTATTTTGCATGCTGCTTTATTTCCTAGAGACTTTAGGACCTCCTGCACTGATTAACTGATCATCTCAGCTTTTTGAAAATTAGTCTTTGCAGCAACATTCTTGTCACCAGGAACCACTTATCATGATGATAAAACGAGTTCACATTTGTCCCTATAGATAGTATTTTGAATTTTTTCTACTTGGGTAAAGAAAGTAAAAAAGATAGTTGGATTTTATTGCATTTGGGTTTCAGGCTTCAGAAGTACCTGGAACCTTACTCCAGCAAAACAAAATTAAAAAAAAAAAAAAAAAAAAACTACGACAGCTTTATTTCATAAAACATGTGCCTCTTATAAGTAACTCATCACTTTTATTTTAAAACGGTCCTTCAAAGAACAGTATGGCATATGTGATAATGTGTTAGGTTGTAGGATAGATCTGAGTACTTGATAACTTCAAAGCTGGCTCTTCACTGACTCTGGACAAGTCCCTAGTCTGTATAGTTTGGCTTCCTCTGTAATGTCATTCTGCAAGTAGCCTTGCCAGTTTAAATTTCTGTAAGAAATCTTCTATAAGACAGGGCTATATTTTGGTGATTATCTTGTAAAATAAAGTCAAGAGTGCTATAGTTTTGAAGTCATACCTTTTTTTTTTTAAATGACAAAATACCTGTGGAGAACCAGGGGTCCTCAGTCTCTGTCTCATTTATGGGGTACAGAATAACCTACAAAGCACCTCTTCTATTTAAAGTACCCTTGGAAATTGAAGTTTATCTTAAGTGTTTTGTTGTCTTTGCTAGGATTGCCAGATATTTAGTTGGGTTTTCTGCAATTCTGCGACAGCCTAGTAGTTTATGGAGCTTTCTCTTTTACTGTTTCTTTGGTGTGTCTTAAAATTTCTCTGTTTCTGGTCACGAGTTCATAACATAGATTGTTGAGTGATTAAGATTCTTTTGTGTCTGACCCTTGTGAGTTGTTTTGAGATACGTGGGATTTCTGTGTGAGAGCTAATAATCAGGCTGTTAATCTGCTTCCCTGACTTGCTTTCTTAGCGGCTTTACATGCAAGGTTCAGAGTAAGGGTCTGTAACACAAGGAAAACTTCTATCACTTCTGTCCTTAACATTTACCTCTATTATCTAAGTTTAGTAAGTAGGTTTCTTATTTTGCCCAGTGTTTGGTGTTACCTGCGTTATATTTTGTTTTTTAACTGTGGTTGTTCTGATGTGTGAAATTTAAGGAAAGAGCCATTTTAAAAATGCCAAGCAGGGCAATGCAAGTACAGCCAAATATTAGAGTTTGATGTGCAATCTTAGGTCCTTTTTAATATGGGGTATTAATAGGCAGTACTTCAAATCAAAAAGTCTTCCTGGCCTATTTTCTTCTATGTTTTGTAATTATTCTGGGGGCTTACTTGTTTGGCAGTACTAAAATCAAAGGAGCTGGTTCTTCTTTTTTTCCAAATTCTTTTCATATTAATGAAAGCACCCACAGCTAGCCTGTTACTCCTATTCTATACATCAAATACCAATAAATGCATTGCTGTGAGCACATTTGAGCATCTTTGTTTTATGTAAATTTATGAGTATGAAAAAAACCAGTGTTCCATTTTATATCTTGTTGAGCTTATAAAATGACAGTTATTTAGAATTAGGACCCCTCACACACGTAAGTGCACACACACACACACACAAATCACGAAGGTAGAAATACTAATGCAAGGGTTACCTCAAGGAGGTGGATTTTGTTTTCAGTTATTTGGGTTGTATTAGATTCCTCCTATAGGGAAATACTAGCAAAGTTTTCTAAATGTTGGGAAGGGAAAATTCATTGTATTATGAAAACCTGAGGGTTGCTGCATTTTTCCTGCTTCTTGACCTGGATAGGAGTGTCATTCTTACTTACAAAAAGGCAAACTGACTGAGAGAAGATTTTGGATTCAAGGGTTAGTTATAAAGCAGTCACTTAGGGTCCCTTTCTTTCCATGGGAATTTGTTTGGGCTTACTAAGGAAAAAAAAACAAAACAAAACAAAAAAAAAACCGTTGCACTGATATAAAAACTCTTAGCTCGATTTTTAAAGATGGCAAACAATTGCATGTTGTTCTGAAATGCAGACTTTAGAATGTTTTTTCTTTCAAAACAGGCTAATTAAATATAGTGTTTCCTAGTGTTTTTCTTTTCCTGATAGTCAAAATTTCAGCTCCTCTTTAAAGTTATTATGTCATTTACTTTTCTGGCTTAAATTTCTCTTACATTTCCACCTGTGATGTCAGTGGCAATGACATACATAAGTCACATGTTAATTTAGTTTTTACCCTTATTATAAGAGCAAGTTGAGTTAAACTGAATCTTCCTTGTCCTAGTAACATTGTATAAATAGTGGATTCTCTGTACAAAAGGTTGTAATGACTCCTGATGGATATAATTTTGTGATTGTATTTAAAAGTTGAATAAATCACACCAGCTTCCTGAAAATGTTCATAATGCATCTTTTGGAAATCAAAAATACATGACTACTTTCTCATATTTGCATTAACATGGCGAAGATTGTATGGAATACCTGTTTTTCAAAAAAAATAAAGGTTCAGTCTTAAAAGAGATAGCATTTAAGGTCTGAATTCATTGGTTGAATTAGATTCCAGTATGCATGATTTTTGGAATTTCATTTTCAAAAAAGAATTACCCTACTGTCAGTGTTCTGTTTGATTTTTAATCTGCAGTGGAAATTTGCTTCAGTTGGAAAGTTTAAAGACAAATTTATTTAGCTTAATTTTGGCACTTTTTGAAAAAGAAAACTTGCAGACCATCATTGATAGACTTGTGGGTTCCCAAGGGCCTGAAAGCTCTAAAGGAGAAACAAAATGTCCAGCTGTTAGTGTCTTGAAGGTTTCCTTTGTTGCTGCTAGGTTCCCTTAGGGGAATTCATGTTAACTGCTTAATCATCTGGCACATTTCAAGAGACCAGGTCCTGCCTTTGTGGTACCAAAAGAAAGTTTAATTTATTTAATAATTGGGCCACTTGAAAGTTGAGCAAACCCTGTGGAAGTTGTAAATGATACATTGGGAAATGGGTCTAGGAATAAATAAAATCTGCTTTTCACCTACCTGTTTCACGAGCTGTTGTAGTCTTTTTAAGTCTTTTTTTCTTAGGTTATACATAGGGAAAACAAGTAAAAACCAAAAGCAGTATTTAGTAGAAGCCGAGTTCCCAAAGTAGAAATGTTTTTAAAGCTTCCTAACTCTGGCCTCTCTTGAAATTGGCGTCTCCTGTGATGCAGCAGCTGATTGTCTGGGTTCTTTTGTCTTTTATTTTGTAAAAGAGGAATAAGGGATTGGTACCCACTCTAATCCCAGGCAATTTAAGCACTTTCTCAAAGTTTTAAAAATTTTTGAAGGGTTAGGGATACAGCTCAGTGCAAAAAGCCCTGGATCAGTCCCCAGTACGGAAAAAAAGTTGAGGGCTACTCATTCTGCAGGTTAAAAACTTACCCAGTGGGGTCATTTTATATGTCTTCCACATTTCCCAAAGTGGTACTTTACTGGGGAATGAACCTCCTTCTCTTACTGTTCACTCAACTATTTCTTCTCGGTCCAGAGACTTAACCCCCTAAAGGTCCACGGGCAAGGTTGTGACGGTAGCTGAGACAGTGTGCTTGGCTTACTTAGTTCGGTCAAAGACATGGGTTTGATCACCACCCCCCCCCAAAAAAAAAAAATTGCGCTCCAAAATTGCTTATGAGCTTTACCATTTATGAGGAGGTTTATAGTTTTCCTTTGCATGCCTTCTAAGAAGGTCCGGTCAAAACGAATTCCTCGTAAAGTCAGGTGTCTTGATCCACAAACTTTTCCCCCCTCAAGCTAAGGCCTTATTCTTAGAGCAAGAGAGAAATAAGAAGCAAAATCCACATAAAAAGCTCTCTACCGTCCTCAAAAGTTCACGAGGTGAGCACGAGTCCCAGTCTGCGCTAAGCTGCTTAGAGGGCGGCAGGCTGATACGGGAGAAGATCCCAGCGGCCTTCCACACCCACGTGTTACTTTTGACTGCTCAATTTTCCAGGGAGGCTCAACAGCTTAGATCCACCGGAAGAGGCTCGGCAAACTTCAGGCGGCGGCCATTCCTAGGGAGACTGACAGCGCTCTGGGGCGGTTGAACTGCCTCTGAGGTTCGGGGCGGGGCATGCCTCGTGTGCTGATTGGTTGGCCTGTGTCTCCGCCCCCTTGGACCGCCTTCGCCCCTCTCCTTTGACCTGGATTTCAAGCTATGCGCTGGGCAGCGGTTGGGCAGGCTCCCTCTACTCTTCAGCTCAGTTTGCCCAATGAGGAGCGAGCTTCGCGAGAGCTGTCGGGAAGGGCGGCTGCCTATATAAAAGGCTTACGGGGCGTTCGTTCGCGCTTTGCTAGCAGTGCGCGTAGTGGCGGAAGGTGAGCTTGGAGGGCCGTTTTACCCAGCTTGAGCCTGACTCAGGGACGATGGCGGAAGGCGACAATCGAAGCACCAACCTACTGGTGAGTCCCAGCGGCCTGTCCAAAGGGAACCGAGCCGGGCCTCCAGGCTTCAGTGGGCTCAGCAGGGTGTGTCTGATAACTGGGCCCGGCCCTCTCGCCGTTTCCCGATAAGAGCTACAAGGCCTGACCCAGGTCTTCTTAGTTTTGGGGGGTGCGGTCCCTAGTCTTGTCGATCTCTGACATACTATGAAAGGGGTGCACGACAGTGCCAGGGGGACGCGTGACTAGTCACTTCAAATACAAATTCAGGAGAAAGGAAGAACGGGGACTGTAGTAGAAAGAACCTGGGGTGCAGCTGGGGCAGAGGCTGGCAAGGGGACGGACCAGCGCTTTCTGGCCCAAGGCCCAGCCGTATCCAGGTTCCTCCCACCGATTTTAACCTACTGTGCATTCGTTGTTTTTTCCCCTGAAACAGGGGCAGAGGTAAAGGATCAAAGGACTACTGCGGAGAAGTTATAGCTGGCAAACTTAAAACAAGGGAAGCTGCGAGCTCATTCAGGGAATCGAAAGTGGGGTTCAGCGAAAAGACAATGGGAGGACCTAGCTTTGGCTGGAATTTGAATGGGGATTGGTCATAGGAGGACTGGAGACAATAATGGAATATTAACAAGAATACAAAGGAACTGCATAAGTATCATAGGCAGACATTTAATTCATTACGACTTTAACTGCACCATTTAGGCAAAAACGAGATATTCTTGTATTTTCAATATGACGATTCTCCAGAAAAAGGCTGGCTACACACTAGAAATGGAAAAACGCAGGGCGTGGTGGCACATGCCCTGTAATCCCAGTACTCCGGAGGCAGAGGCAGGAAGATTCCTGCGAGTTCGAGGCCAATTTGGGCTACTGAGTTCAAGGCCAGCCTGAATTGCATAGTGAAACCTTGCCTCAAAAAAAAAAAAAAAAAAGAAAAGAAAAAGAAACAATTTAATTTAATTTTATTTTTGGCTTTTGCACTTTCAAGATCCCAAATGCTGGTGTATTAAGTGACTGCAGAGCAGTATTGATAGAAATGCCTGGCTTGTCTCCTTACCTACACACACACACACCCATCCCTTTGTTGTTAACCACCAGGATGACTTCTTTTAAGAGGATTAATTAAGGCACAAAGAAATCCAATTTGTATTGAAATGATAGGTCCTGGCACATAACTCCTCATTCCCAGCTCAATTTTCTTTTAAGCAAAGGTCTATAAGTACAAGGCCTTTTGTGTGTCTCAGTTTCCTCCTCCCTAAAGAGGTTAGTAACACCACCTTACTTTCAGAGTTTTGGGGAAGATTAATTGAAACACAAGCCTATGTTAATCGGTTAAGGTTTTGACGACATAGTAATTCCTTAGCCTTATTAAGCATGAGATATAAAGTCAGAAGTACTGGAGTCACCTTAGTGATCTGAAGTCACCTTAGTGATTGGTGTGGCTTAGGTACAATCTTTGTTAAGACTAATTATCTTACCATTTGCATATTTCCAAAGTGACATTTAGATTACTTGTTTGAATTTTTTTCTTCCTTCGCCAAAATTAGTTTTAGGGCTTTTGCCACATTACCTCACTCTAGAGTTTGACTTTTGACTGATTGTCATGTTTACAGAGAAATTTGATGTCTAACCAAAATGTCTTCATGAGTGATAGGAAACATGGTTTTGAGATACACTAAGCTTAAAATGTCAAATGTAATTTAGTTAAGATAGTTTTCCTTACTTGTGCAATGAATGCCAACATCTAAGTGATTCCATTACACAAAGCTATTTTACAGATTAAACCACTGTTGAGAGAAAGGCTTTCCTAATGGATTTAGAAGTAAGGGTTAGTAAAATGACAAAAGCATTTAAACCATCTGAAATGAACAAACTTAAATTTTATTACTATTCTGGGCATTGTCACATGACTCCTTATGCATGACTTGGGGAAAGTAGTTTACTCATTATGAAATTAAAGAAAATGAACTCAAAATGATTATTATCCTTATGTTGTGGATTTCTTTAAGGATTGTCACATGATAGGTGTAAAGAGTAACCCAGAGCTTGGATTGGGAAGGTGACATTAAAGAATGAATGGGTGGTTTCCCTCCTTTTGTTTCCATTTTTAATATCAAAGTTGCAGGGCTTCTTCCCCCTACCAAGAACTACCAAGGTTAAGATAGCAATTTAGGATTTTTTTTGTTTTTTTTTGTTTGTTTGTTTGTTTGTTCTTTGAGACAGAGTCTTACTGTGTAGTTCAGGCTGGGCTTGAACTCACTGTAGCCCCTTCTGGCTTTGAATTTGTGGGGAATCTTCTGCCTCAGCCTCCCAAGTGTGGAGGTCACAGGCACCGGCCGCCACGCTCAGTAAGATAGCAATTTGAATTTGGTGCCTTAGAAGAATTTAACTCTGAACCATAGAAGTGTTGAGAGTTGTAAAATGATCACTGTAAATGTTGATCATGTGTAGGCTGTGGAGACTGCAAGTCTGGAAGAGCATCTGCAAGGATGGGGAGAAGTGATGCTGGTTGCTGATAAAGTCCTCAGATGGGAGAAAGCCTGGTTTCCACCTGCCATCGTGGGTGTGGTTTCACTGGTGTTTCTGTAAGTGTGTTATTACATTACTAAGGTGCTTGTTATTAATAAAAGATCAGGTAATACATATCCTTCATTTATAGACATAGTACATAGCCTGTAGAGAATACCTTTTTTTTAAAAGCAGTTCACCTGTTTTCCAGAATTTGTATTGCTTATGTAAACTTGATAGCCTAATGCAGTAACTCTCAAACTTTTTGTCCATGGCACCCTTCCTTACATTCTTAAATCATTGAAGAAGGGCTCCCAAAGAAGTTTGGATTATTGATTCTTCCATTAATGAGTGCAGCAAGTGTGTCCCACTCGTGGGAAAATAGAACACAGTGAATACCATAGTTGAAAACGTGCACTGGATGAATAAACATCTTCAGCTAGAAATAATGGTGTCTGTTTTTCTAACCTTGATACATTTTTTTTTTCAAACAGGATTATCTATTATCTAGATCCATCTGTTCTGTCCGGCGTTTCCTGTTTTGTTATGTTTTTGTGCTTGGCTGATTACCTTGTTCCCATTCTAGCGCCTAGAATTTTTGGCTCCAATAAATGGTAGGTGGCATAATGATTTGGCAGTCTTAATTTCTGAGAACTTACTGAAGCTTGTGGCTGTGATGACTATGCTATAATTGTAGATAGTTCACTAGCAGACACCTAGAAATTAAGATTCATTGATTTTATTTAAATAACTTCTTAGCTAATTTGAGATATTGTAAGTCATGAAGTTCCAGTACTTATATCTCTGTATAGTACTTGTGTGCTCAATCATTTATTTTGACTTTTTTCTTTTTTGGCTTTTTGTTGAAGTGCTTTTTAAAGGTTATTATTTAGGGAGGATTTAGCTTAGTGGCATAAGAGCCTGCCTGACAAGAGCAAGGTCATGAGTTTGATCCCTGGTACCATAAAGAAAAAAGAAAAGATTATGTTTTAACAAGGATTGTAGAACTCATAATAAGCTTTCTAAAAGAGCTGTATATTGACATTTTTACACTGATAATTTTATACTAATACTATATTTTAGTTTTTACAAAATACTAATTTTATGAAGTATTTTTTACAGTGTAAAAACCATTAATGGTACATTTTTATCCACATTCACTTTGCTGATTTTTGTAAAATGTCTACATGGGTACTGTTCTAGGTGTTGTGAAATGTTTTGCCTTTTAAGATTGACTTTGTGTTTAAGACTGGGGTGTTTGGTCTGCAGCTATAGTTCAGTGGCACAGCACCTGCCTGGCAAGCGCAGTGTCCTGAGTTCAGTTCCCTTCTTTTTTGGTACTGGGGGATCAAACTCACAACCTCACATTTGCCAAGCAAGTGCTTATGCCACTGAGCTAAATCCCTAGCCCCTGAGTTCAATTCCCTGTAGCAATAATAACAATAATAATAATAATCACAATGTTACCACATTTTTTAAAAAAAGACTGACGTATTGGGACATTGAGGCAGTGGGAAAGTGGTAGTTAGCCCATTGCATGCCATGTGTCTCAGAACAGATTTAGTCATATATATAATTGTATTGATTTCATATATGTCATTCTTCAGTTACTTTTGAATTCCAAAGATTATAGTTAAATAAGTTTTTACACTGAAACTTTTAAACTTCTCTCGACTGTTGAATTTTTCACCTATAATCCAAATAATGAGCTAAATCAGATGTTTGAATAGACTTTTTTTTCTGCCAGCTGCTAATCCTCCCTTTTTATTTTCAATTGATTGATTTTTTTTTTTTTTTAACTTAGGTCTTAGTGTTTATTTACGTATATCTTTAGCAGTACTGGGTGTTGAACCCAGGACCTCACCCAGGTAGGCAAGTGCTGTGCCACTGAGCCACACTGCCAACTCTGACACATTATTAAATCTGTAAAAATGAGAATTTTAGCTGGGGGTGGTGGCACAGGCCTGTAATCCCAGCACTTGAGAGGCTTAGATAGAAGATTTGCTGCAATTTTGAGACCAGCCTGGGCTACAAATTGAGCTCAGAGCCAGCTTGAATTGCATAGTGAGACCTTGTCTCAAAAAGGGTACCTTAAGGGCTGAGGATTTAGCTCAGTGGCATAGGTGCCTGCCTGGTAAGCTCAAAGTCACGAGTTCAATCCCCATACTAGATAGATAGATAGATAGATAGATAGATAGATAGATAGATAGATAGATAGAGATAAAGGGTACTTTATGGATCTTTTAAAGCAAATTCACATATTTTGGGGGATTTTGCTTAAACTGTGGGATAAGTAAGCATGTTTCTTGAAAGATGTTTTCTTCACAGAATGGATTAATATTAGAAACTCTTCTGAACTGCTTTCACTTGTAATGAATTAATACTGTTGTCTGGGGATGGACAAGTTTGTGACCATGTAGTGTAGCCACCTTTACAAAGGGAAAGCAACCATTGACCTTGACTTTAACAGCTAGGTAACATTCTAAATGTGTTATTTCTTAACTCCTTTAAGAAACTTTTCGGAAAGAAATGTTCATGCTCTCATGGTATTGCTATTGATAGAATGGTTTTGTGGAAAAACAAAGAACACTGTTTTCACAATCTAACCTTGATCATCCATAATCAACACACGAGGTCTAATTGTTTACAAGAAGTTCCATGGCTCAGCAGAAATCCTCTTACTTTATTACCACAATGAGGACTACAGGAGAGAAGGCAGCACATTCTTCAGCATAGGTCCTGTTTATGGTACCCATTGTACCTCTGTAGCAAAGACAGTACAGGGCCATTTTTTTTTTTTTAACTGGGGACAAGAAAAATTGGACTTTTTCTGAGAGGGTCTTTTTTTGATTTTTAATGCATTTTTGTTGTTGTTGCTTATATTTTTCCTCACTGATAACTAAATTTATAAATAATTGGACTCAAGCTATTTATTGCTGCCTTGATGTCGAATATATAAGCCCACTTGGGGTTGTTAGCTTTGAATACTAATGCTGTTGACACTGCAGAGTGCTCAAATACAGCTGCTTAATGGGGCCCTAATGGACTACAGTGGAGGATTTATTATGATCTGAAAAGTAGTATGGCCATAGGAAAATGAAATTTATTCAAAATTCTGCATAGCTCGTAGAAGTCGAGTGTTTTGTTACTATCATTAACCCAAGTGACTTTAGAGTTAAAGATTAGCACTACTACTCTAGAATGTAGTATATACACATATAACTCAAGTTAAGAGGACGATGCATTTCTGTTTACTATAGGAATTTCCTTATAACAAGAGGGAAAATTCTTTTTTAGGACCACTGAACAACAGCAAAGATTCCATGAAATTTGCAGCAATGTAGTAAAGACCAGACGCAGAGCTGTGGGCTGGTGGAAACGCCTCTTTACACTAAAGGAAGAAAAGCCAAAAATGGTACTTTTTTTGCATTGACTTACATAAGCGTAAAGCACAATCTTAATAGTTAACTTTCACTTTATTGTAACTTAATGGTAGAATCTTGTTTTAATAATAATAGTTTGTGTCAGGGATAGTGGCACACGTGCATAATCCCAGCACTTGGGAGGCAAATGTAGGCAGATCTCTTTGAGCTCGAGCCCAGCTAGATCTATATAGCAAGACCCTGGCTCAAAAAACAAACATGCTAGGACCAGGAATTTAGTTCAGCAGCACAAGTGCCGGCCTGGCAAGTTTGAGGTCATAAGTTTGATCCCTGTACCAAAAAAAACATGCTGAGGAGAAAACAAACAAACGAAATATAATTTAGTATTTATTTGCCATAGATGTGACTCATAGCTACATTCATAAATGTTTATCTATAGTAGACTGGATCATTGGACATTACAAATTATATTTTACATTTAATTTTTTATTTCAGTGGAGCAAATTTTTTTTTCTAAAGTAAAAAAGGGGCTGGGGATTTAACTCAGCAGTATAAGCAGCTGCCTGGCAAGCATAAGGTCTTGAGTTCGATCCCTAATACCAAAAAATAAACAAACAAACAAATAAATAAAAATAAAGTAAAACTGAAAGGCATACACTTCGAAAACATAGGGGCTGGGGATTTAGCTCACTGTGGCATAAGCACCTGCCTTGCAAGCGCATGGTAGTGAGTTGGATCCCTGGTACCAGGGGAAAAAAACAAAACATCTGTTATCTCTCAGCTTCATTTGAGATGATAAAGTTATTAATTAGAAAAACAGTATAATTTACATAATAAGGCATTCAATCTGTAGACTCACAGTAATTTCTAGAGATGTATTTAAGTTTTTTTTTTTTTTTTTTTGTTTTTTGGAGGCAGCGTCTCACTTTGCAGCCTAGGCTGGCCTCAAACTCACAGCAATCCTCCTGCCTCAGCCTTCCGAGTGCTGGGATTACAGGCATGTACCACCTTGTCTGGCTGTATTCAGGTTCAATAAGGCAGATCAAATAAAATTTTTTATGGGTTTTGTAGAATATTTTAAAGTGATTGGAAAAGCTAAAGTTTTCCCCTAACCTTTGAAACAAACTTTCTCAACTGACAAAGTTATATGTATTTATGGTTTATGTGATATTTTGATAGATGTACTAATTGTGAAATGGTAACTAAAAGTCACACTTTTCAGCCTATTTCTAGGAGTTGATATATATATTCTTCTTGTTTTCACTGTTAGTACTTCGTGACCATGATCATTTCTCTTGCTGCGGTTGCTTGGGTGGGACAGCAAGTCCATAACCTGCTTCTTACCTGCCTGATAGGTAAGTCTGTGGCAAGCTACAATTGTATCATAGCCAGTAAAATCTGACTATGGCATAAAATATGTGAGTACTTTCCAAATTTCAGGTACTGATCCAGAAACTTTGGAAGTATAGAAACGTGACAAAGACTCAGTTGTTTATGGCAAATGAAGACAAAAAAAAACATAAGAACCAAAGCAGAAAGTATAGTAAAAAACCTTAGTTTATACGCATAATTTGTTCCAGAAACATAATTGTAATCCAGAGCACTTGTATCTCAAGCAAATTTCCTTATGAGAAATAATGGAACCCAAAATACCAAAATAGTCATATAAAATGATAATACTGTTAATACAAAATAAAGGACATATAAAGAAAAATAAACACATTACCTTGCAGTTACCCTTGAAAATCTTCATGAGAGAGGAAGATTATTTTGAAGGACAACTTTCACTATCACTAATGGAATCACTGCTATCTGTTGGTTCAGTGGAATCTTTCTTTTTATTGAACTTTTTTTTTTTTTTTGCGGTACTGGGGATTGAATTTACAACCTCTCGCTTTCCAGGATTTAACTTTAACATTGTCTATCCAATGACAATGCTTTTTTTTTTTTTTGCCTCCTTTCTATTTCACAAAAATGTGACACTGCATTGTCATTAAAGAGATTCATCACTTGCACTGCTACAGCCTTATTTAGGTGGTGCTTTTCTACAAATTTGGCAGTTTCTCACGTTTCTCTGATCACATTTGAAGTGACTGGTTGCTGTGCTTTTTTTTTTTTTCCTGCTCTTCCATAACCTCTCGCTGCCAGGAGATAGTTACCCACAGTTCCTCCGGGCGATGGGGAGAACCATTGGCTCACTTGTGATTATGTGATGTTTGGCATCACACACTACTTACTGTAACACATTACTTGCTTATCAAGTTAAAATTTATTAGAAATGTATACTATCCTATGGAACATCACAAAACAAGTTCCTTGGAATCCAAGGTTTTATATAGTTTGCAGGAGGTAAAAATGAGCAGTGATTATTATATGAGGTTGGGAGGATGTGACAGCAAGTTTCTGAAATCCAGTGGAAGTAATGGATTTTTGATTACTTCCTCCCATTAGAATTCTAATAGTCTAGGAGTCTGCCTTCTTTAAAATGTGATAATCTTTAGGAGGTTAATTGCTTTCTCCTAAGAGACTAAGGCAAGAGAATTTGAGCTCTGCCTGGGCACTTGGCAATTAAGTGAAACTCTGTCTCAAAAAAAATGCTGCAGGGGCGGGCTGGGATTTAGCTTAGTAGTATAAAGTGTCTGCCTGGAAAGTGCAGGGTCCTGAGTTTGATCCCTGTATCATAAATAAATAAAGTGCTAGGGATGCAGCTCATGCAGATACTCTGGGTTCGATCTCCAGTACTGAACAAAAAAGTTGCTATGTCTTTAATTTTGTTTGTTTATTTATTTTAAGTGATTTTCTTACTGTTGCTTCCTGGACTGAACCAACATGGAATCATTTCGAAGTACATTGGAATGGCCAAAAGGGAGATAAACAAGCTGCTGAAGCAAAAAGAAAAGAAAAATGAATAATACATCTGCTTTCTTCAGTGTGGTTAACGGAGTATGCGTTGCTCCTGAGAATAGTTTCTGCTGTGCTGTGTGGATACTGAAATGCTGCAGAAGTAGCTCTCTGCTTTCCCTCACTCTGCCCTTTGTAGAATTCACACTTGCCAGTCAGGCTTTGTGCATCGTGTCTTTGTGTCAATTGTAGCTGGGTGCATTCTCATCAGTTGGCCTTAAGTGGACAGCTCACTAGTGAGTAAGGCTTGTTTTGACTTTTCTCACCCAGTGTTAACTGAATTCTCACTTTTGACAGCTTCCTTTAAAATACTACATTGGCAAACTTTGCTCTTTAGTACAGTTAACAGTGACTGCATAATTGTTTGGGTTGATGTTTTAGTTAGATACAAGGTAGTGGTTGGTGACTACAGGAAGCTGGTTCTACTATCTGCTTCCACAGTCTGCTTTAAAAACTGGCTTCATGAACATAGAGACCAAGTTTACCACACCTGATAAAGAGACCAGTTAGGAACTATTCCTTACACTGTTTCTTTACCATCTGAGAAGAATGCCTATGGAATACAATGAAACTGATTCCACTGATGCCCTAGTATGTGTAGGTTTCTCCCTTTTGCAAAACTGAGCAATTTCTAGGAAGTATTGATCCTTTGTCTTACATAGGGGACTCTGACGGGTATACAGCGCTTGTTCCCCTGCCCTACTTTGTTAGTGAATCTTTAAAGGCTTTTTCATAGCAGATTTCCAAAAGACTTTATTTTAGGATATTTAGTATGCTTTTCATTTCAGGTTTTTACAGCATACACAGTAGGTTAAGATGCAAGTCTGTGACCTTTATTCCAACACCAGCCGGTAAAGGACAAAAGTCTTCCTGTATTTAGTCAACATTCATTACGTAGAAAATAAAATCACTAGTTTTTAAGATCAGAAAGAGCCTTCAAAGGTGAGCCTCCACTCTCATTTTACTGGCTATATTTTGGTTGCTGTAGGTTTTGAAATGTAGTGACTACACTGGCATTTGACATTTTTCCTCAATATTTTTCAAGGGCTCTTGGTGAGAGCAGGCTTGTGATGATAGTCTGACTTCTGGCCCATAAAGATTTTGCAACTCCTTGGAAAACTTCTTATAATCAGTCTTTCCCTCCTGGTAGCTAGAAACTTAGAATAGCTAACTTCTGTAAGAATGAACCTTTGAGGGCCAAAAATGTGACACATTTGGGAACAATTCTTAAACTGCTTACCTAGCTGTAATATAGTTCTGTGAATTCATTGCACTGATGCTGTTAAACCTTGTGGTATATCTGTCCCTAAATAAGTATTGTTTTTTCCCCTTCCATATTGCTGTAAATGCTAGTACCCATTATAGTTTGTTTAATTTTTTAAAAAATATTTTCATATGACTACCTTAATTTTACATGTGTTTCCTCATTGTAAATAAGCCTGTCTTACCTGGATTTTTTTGTGTGTGAATGTGTGTTCTACCAGTTAACTACTTTGGCAGTTTTAATCCTGTATTATTTCTCCTTTGTTTGATGTGAAAGGGGAAAAATAAAAGCTGGAATCTCTTTAGTAGTCTCATTTTCTTTTGAACTTAGCCAGTCTAATGTTTACATGATTGAATTATGAAGCCAATTAGAGAACTGCCTGTGTGAACATTACAGATCTCTAAGGTACTCTAAGAATGAATTGAAATCAAAAGTTTCAGTGTATTCATTCTGCAAACACTGAGGCTTGGTGCTAGATGGAAGAGGAGCTACAGTGAGAGGGCAGCTGGCAGAACATGCAGGGGAAGGACAGAGCTCGCAGTGTCTCCAGCTGGGCACCTGTTCCCTGGGGTCCAGCTTGGGTTTGTATCAAAGAGGTGCTCAGTAAGTAATGGCTGGCTGACTTGTCTTTATTTTAAACATTTTAAGAGATTTAATTGAATGTGTTATGTGAGTATACTTGTTGATAGGTACTAGAAATAGATTTGGTAATAAATTCGGAGTTCTTCCACTCCAACGAGTATGGATCCTCCTTTGGAACCTTCTGAGAGTTTTGTGATGTCCAACAACAAAGTCTCAATGTCACCACCTGTACCAGATTGCCTGATGTTTTTGAAATACTGGTCTTTAACCATGCAGCTATGATTACTGTTTTGCTTACATCACCTAGCTGGCTTTCTTCCCAGGCCAGCTTGGCTGCTTCAGCTTGGCATTGAGGGGCTACCCCTATGCCAGTTCTGGCTACAGCAAAAGTCCTTTTGAAGGTACACCTGACCCTACCTCCGGCAGAGCAGAGGTCTTATCACCCCACAGTTCACAATGGAAGAGATGTTTTGGAATGAGTTGTGCCAATACAAATGAAAGGATTTGATTTTTATTCTCAGCTTGTGGCCTAACTGATGAGCTTCCCTCTGCCCTATAGGATTTGGGAGTTTTTAAGAGGTAACAATGCTAGCAGTTTGTATGTTACCCATTTTATTTTCATTCATTTTGTGGTCAGTCCTGTTTAAAGACAGCTGGGTCCAGTTTGCCTACAATAAAAACTACCAGCTTATTGGGTTCTTTATACTGAGATCTCTGCTCCATTTCTCCCCCTATTTTCCTGTTCCAACACAGCTATCCTGACTTCTATCCATTTCATGCCCTCCTAACTCCTAATCAGTGTTCGGAGCAGGCCTCCACATGCCTGGACTGTCTGCTGTCCTACACACCCACTGTGGAATTAGGCAGATTTATATGCAACCCCTACCAAGTAATTTAGTAACTACTTTGGGGCTTGTTTATTTGCTTTTTGCTTTGACTTTTTAAAATTTTAAAGTTTGGTCACTTTAAGATAGCATTTAGTTTTCTTATTTGTGACATGGGTTTAATAGCAGATACCTCAAAGTCATTGTGAGGGCTGCTGAGTTACAGTAAACACTTGGTGGCAGGCATGACTTAGTAGTAGCGTAGTATCAGTGTGAAGATCAAGTAGTACTTGCTCTGGGAAAGCTCCAACAGCAGCTTCCCAGATCCCAGAGCACGTCACGTTGCTTCCCTGTGTGACACACTGCTGTCACTTATGTGCCCTCCACTGCAGTCTAAATATCTTTGAGGACAGGAACAGGTAATTCTGTCCTAGCACCTAGTACAATACCTGGTATGTGGTAGACACATGATATTTATTAGATGAATTAATGAATCCAGAGTTTAAAAATTAATGGATGTACTATTTTTCTATTTATGGTAAGGCTCTTAAAGTGTTTTTGTTTAGTCAAATCTACTTGCTAAGGACCCCACTTAAATGAACTGTGTGTTTCTAGTAAACAGAATAGGTTGTAATTGTACAGAGAGCCAGTATGTCAAGAAAATTTTCATTTAAAAAGCCAGTGATTGTGGGCTGGGGATTTAGCTCAGTGGCATAAGCGCCTGCCTTGCAAGCAGGCAGTCGTGAGTTCAATCCCTGGTACCGATAAAAACGAAAAAGACAAAAAAAATTTTAAAAAGTTAAAAAAATAAAAAGCCAGTGATTGGAAAAAATAAAAAGCCTGTATTGGCCAGGCATGGTAGTGCACACCTGTAATCTCCACACTCGGGAGACTGAGGCAGAAGGATTGCTGTGAGTTCAAGGCTGGTGAGGCACTACATAGTGGGTTGAAGGCCAGCCTGCACTACTACATAATGAGACCCATAATTCAAGCACAGCCTGAACTACATGGCAAGACCCTGCCTCAATACATAAATAAAAACAAACTCAATGGTCCTGTGTAATTTAAATTGTGACCAGGAAATGCAATATGTCTCAGATGTACAAATTGGAAGCTCTGCTTTTGTTAAGGTAAGCCTGTGACTTGGGAAGTGGTGGGGATCAATGGAACAGGCTGAGATCATATACTGAAGATGACTCACTGCCAGGGTTTGTGTTAGTGTCTTGTATGGATTCTCTCGTTTATCCCCACTCACAGCAACTTCAAGTGGGTGGTGATGTCGTCCCCATTTAACAGATTAGAAAACTGACTTCACCACTCATTTATCAAGTATGTGTTGAGGGCTTACTATGTGCCGGATAACTTCTCTAGGAGTTGTGAGTACAGTGGTAAACAAAACCAACTAAATCCCTGCCTTCTTGGAATTAAACAGTCCAGGGCTCAGAGATACAACAGTTGGACTCCTGATAATAACAGGCTGGGGTAATAGCAAGGGTTTTTATGTGTGGTGAGTGTGGCTGAAGGAAGAACTGAGGAAAGGCAGGGACCAACACTCTTGGCTAAGTGGGGAAGAAGGTGCTCAATTGATAGGAACAGTGAATGCAAAGGCTGAGGTACAGCATGCTTGGAGTGTCCAAAGGAAAGCAAGCCACAGGAAGCCAGACGCGATGGCCCATATCTGTCTTCCCAGTTACTTGGGAGCTGAAGCAGGTGGATCACAAGTTCTAGGGGACTCTGGCAATTTAGTAAACTGTCCCAGAAAGGACTGAGGATGTAGCTCAGTAGTAGAACACTTGCTTACCATGCTGGAGGTCTGGGGTTCAACATCTAGTACCAGACCCCCCCCCCATATACAAACACAAAACAAGCAAACAGACATTTAAAAAAATTCACACATATAAGATAGATAACCATATTACTGAGTTTTGTTGGATCATTGAACAAAACTGTTTCCAGTCTCACTATTTGAAAGCCCATTTTATATGCTTTAATTTTGTAACTTGAACAAATATTTCTAAGATAACAATATGTAATCTATTAACTAGTGATTTTCTATTGTTTACTTTTCTGAAATTCTGTATAACTTGTACCCTTTTTCTGTTTTTTTTTCTCCTTAAATAAAAAAAGTATAAAAAAATTCACACATAATAGCAAGTCTGGGTAGATTGGTGGAGATGAGGTCTGATGTGCAAGGAGGAACGTTATGAATACCAGCTTTCCTAAGAAATTTGGATTTTACTGGGGAAGCCCTTCGAGAGTGCATGATCTGACTTCAGTTTTAAAAATGTCTTACTAATTACTTTGTGGAAAAGACAAGAGTAGATGAAGGGGAAGTAAAGGGTGCAAACTGCGATAAGGAGGCTGTCGCAAGTATTTTAGAATTTAATATGCCTCAGATCACTTAGTTCCGTAGAGGGCAGAGTAATAATTCACTCTTTGGTGATCAAACCCTGGGGTAAGAGAGGGGGCTGTACCTACAACTGTTAATCGTTTCTCTGGCGCCCTCAAAAGGAGCACATCTACTATGTATGCACCGAACCTTGTACAAGTCCTTTGCCACTGTTACCACTCTAACTGCGGCAAGAACCTTTAAGAGGCAAGGATTGGTACTACCAGTCTATACTTGATTAAATCAAGTTCAGCGCTTATAATGACTAATCTACATTGGTTCTTGTCGGTTTGCACAAAAGTAGACAAAAGCCACAGGCTCAGAATCTTGTATGTTTATTTTGAAACATTAGTGGTTTTCTTCCACAACTTGTGTCCTAGAACTGAGAAAAAAAGATCTGGATCTCCAGTCAACTCTTGTAAGTTAAAGTGATTTAAAAAGACTACTGATTTAAAAATATTTTTAACTACTTTGGAAAAATTAGAGTCCACCAAAAAAAAAATGTATACACACATCAGGAAAAAAACTCTCCTAAAAAAAAACTTGTATAAATATTTTAATACTGAATTCACTGAAACATCATAAGATTAACACAAATTTCATATGGTCCCTACAAGAGATGCTCAAAGTGATGGCCACTAATTTCCAGACATTTAATATGTCATGAACTGCTCCTTGGTCACTGAGATTGTGGCACACGCATTTCCAATTTCTTCTGTAAACGCCGGAAGTACAGTGAATTTTCTGCAATAAACGACATCCTCCATGGTTCCTTATACGAGGGGAACGCCACCTGAAGAAAAAAGTCACACTGTTTTTCTTTTCTTGAAGGACGTATATGGTTTTTTTGGCGCACTCTGTATCTCAAAAACAAACATCTACAGGGCTCTGCGCGGTGTAAACCTGTAAACCAGCTTACTCCAGAGCCTGTGACCCAGAGGCTCGCAAGTTGGGCCCTGTCTCAAAATAAAATAATAAAAAAGATCTGGGGATGTAGTTCACCTCAGCGCTCTCTGGATTCAATCCCCTACCGGGTATTGAAAATGAAAATAAAAGGAAGTTTCCATCCCAGTTCCAAACACTGCCCAAAGGCATTAACCCACTACTGCGGGTCCTTCAGAAACACTATAAACACGCAAATATCAAAATTTATTCTAAATTGTCAGTGAATATTTATTGCAATAAAAAATTTCAAACATCGAGGACCATGCTTTGGTTTTGTATTTTACAGAGTAAATGCCAAAAGATAGTGGAAACTATGCCGTATCTGGATGTCCTCCAGGATTTACCTCGGGCGATTAATTCTTTCGGTTGTCAACTATCAATCCCTGAGGAGGCCCCGCCCCTACGTTCGCGTACTTCCACTAGCAGTCACTTTGTGTCTGTATTTTTTTCCGTTACTTTGAAAATCTCGCGATAGCCTGTCTATTTCCCATAACTCCGTGCGCCAACCCCTTCCTTCCTCTTTCCGCCATCTTTCCGTGCCGGTGAGTAACTCTGCGTAA